GGAGGTGAAGCAAGAAGATAACAAGTCACAGGCTAGCTCTGTCTAGTAGTATGTGAGACAGTGTCTTACAAGAGCAAAGCAATGAACTATACCAAACAAACAACGATCCTTCATATAGAATTAAGGAATACAGCACTGTTGTAGAAAGCAACAAATCTACATTTTAAGTATATCTGAATAAAGGCCTCTGAGACTTGCCAACATATAATGAGAGACCTGTAACGCAGGCAGAATATAAAAAGAAATACTGCATAAACAAAATTTTTTAGTCCATCTTGCAAGTTGATAGCTGGGAAAATATACCCATAAACCTTATCAGGCACAATATAGATAGATATTCTCAATGTATTGGGTTGATGCTGAGCATCATGAAGAGGTACTGACCCCAAAACCATTGTTCTGGGTGTAGCAGGCTTATGAGAGCTAGAAACATCACCACAAATAGATCATTTGGCCAGCATCTGTGTACAAACAGCCAGGTAGAAAAAAATATAAGATCCTAAAGCAATTTGGTTAGAAAAGATACGTAATTTCTTCTCTGTTAGAGAGAAGAAAGTACAAAGAACCAAAGAGAGCCAGAAAACTTATTACAGACAATATTAAAATCCCCAGAGCCATTAAAAGAATTGAAATTTATAGTGAATGGTGAGGGCCATTAAGTAATGATTTCCCTCTTTATAAATAGTCTCACACACAAGGAGAACCACCATCTTGTCTCCCCATTTGATGAAGTTGGGAATGAAAGTAGGCATAGCAACATGGAGAGCAAAAGGCTGATTAACCTGAGGGAGAATATAAGCAAAAACAGAGGTTTTGAATAATAACTCTGTCATAAAGCTCACTCGAGTGAGGAACATGGATCTTCAGTATAGTGTTGCCTGCAATGAGCTAAACTGTTGGAATTTTAGACAATTTATGTAATATTTCTGAACCATGTTTTTCCCCATAAAATGATTATGTATAGGCTAATAATGAATGAAGCATGGAAAACAATGTTTTAACTAAAAGCATGGTCTTAGGATTCACTTGGGTCTCTGCCATTAATACTATGCTCATGGGTTTCAGTGCATTCTGTGTCTTGAATTCCTCATCTTCACAAACGGAGAAGATTAAGTGAGTTAACACCTTTGAAGCACTTATGTAGTTCCAGACTCAATTACAGTGAACTGATGTTTTGCTGCCATTATTTTTGTGTGCAAATAACAGAAGGTAATTTCAGCTAGTTAAACGAAAAAAAAATCTTATGTTAAAAAGTACTAAATCTTAAAAATTTTGGACTTATTAATTTAAAATCTTTTGAAAATTTCATAAATGAGTACTGTATTGACATTATTTCTACCCTTTCTCTCCCCCTCCAATCTCTTTCATGTTCCCACCCACCCCCAACTCTCTCTCCCAGACTCCTAATCACTTTTTCATTATTGTTACTGATAATAAATATGTAAGAGATAGATAGATGATATTTAGATGATAGGTAGATATCATACTGAATCCATTTAGTGTTGCTCATCTGTACGTGTATTTACATTTCACAAGGATCCAGTTGAAAGTTTGGATTTTGAGAACCAGGTTAAGGGGAAACACTTCTGGATTAAACCTGAACACACATCACAACTTTATAATGATGAAAAAATGCTGAGTTTCCAAGTACTCAGCACTGAAGTTTCAACTATTAAAATTTTGTAACAGAAACTCAATTTTATTACTATTAAAACCATGGCTTTCCTGGTTGCCAGAAAAGCTGGAAAAGCAAACATCTGACATTTTTAAAACCTCCAGAAGATATTTTTTTCCCAAATGTACAAAAAGCTCTGATGTGTGGTGGGCCAATTAAATGGTTTGCTTTCAGCATTTATTCTAAGACTTATTGCCCAGAATGGGCAATATTAAACAAAAATTATCTGGTTTTATCCAAGGTCAAGAAGATGGTAGCCATAATTTCATCATGAAGAACTTGAAATATCTGTGGAGGAGGAAATTCCAGACACTCTTGACATAAACTGAGTTACTAGGCAGCCTCAGCATGCAACACATAAAAATGAAACAGGATTCTCGATAGAATTGCGTCTTTGATTTTTAATTAGGCAGTTGAAAGTTTTCTACCTACTTATTGGGTGCAGAAACAGAAAAGATTTTGCAAACCTGATTATAAAGAAAGGCAAGAGTTCCCAGAGTTTAGTAAACATCCTGTCGCTTTTTAAAAGCCTGTAAGGAAATATCTCTAGTCTGTTTTTCGAAACTATTAATATGTTTGGGTTACTGAGGAGAATGAGGCCCTGAGAATACCAAGTAGAAGGGAAAAGCACAGTTCTAGTCTGGCTTTACCTATTTTAAACTTCCCAACTATAAAAATAGGGCCTGAAATATCAGCCCACTGTCCTTTCAGAGTAATGGACAGCTATTCTGACCCCATGACTAATGCCCAGAGCCTGCTTCAAATTGCTGTGGACTTCTCCTGCTGGCACATTCCAAGCCTGGTGGGTGGTTCCCAGGGCAAATGCTCCCCATTGCATAAACTTTGGGGCATCTCTAAACTGGTTGGACTCTGCAATTCCCAAGACTATTATTGGGCAGTTTTTTATGTGTTTATAGAAACCACAAAAACACAATTAATAAGCTTCTGAACCACATAAGCAAATGGAACTCTCAAACCCATAACATATACATCATTATTTTTAGCAACTACAGCAATCAAGACAATAGAAATTAAACTTCAAAAGGTCAACCTGCTTGTTGCTTACTTATTATCAATTCAGAGGAAACTCGCAAAATCCAAGATTCCAGAAGACCTACTTTGCCATTATGGAATATGAATTTGATTTTCTCATTCTGAAGGGTAAAAATATTGGCCAAATTTATGCTGGTATTCTAATAATTAGGTAGGTGTTATCAATACCTGAAATGCACAGGAAAGAATAGAGGAGAGAAAGCCATCACCCAAATGGCAAGATTTGGGCCAAGGAAGGAATGGTGATTAGCATTAACAATATAGCCCTTTGTATACAATAAGTGTGAGATATGTTCTCCCCAAAATCTTGTGTACTTGAACGACTGAAAATTGGAAAGTAAAGCAGGGCAATTTCTGCTTACTGGCAAGACATTTTCATATGTTGAGTTTAATGTCTGGGTTGGCTGTAAGTCCCTAGGCTTTCCAATATCAAGGCCATACTATATAGAGATTACGCTGATGAACCCAGGCTGACTTTCTGTGTTCAGACCCTGACTTCTCTAGATAACAACCTTATGACGTCAGCAAATTACTGTCTGACCTTGTATCTTCTGTAAACTGGGACAGGGATGGCTCCTGGGCCACAGCACTGCTCTGAGGCCAGAACACTGGCGTGCAGTTGATATCCAGGTATTAGTTAGGAAACAAGAAAAATGAAACTTTGACCATCTTCTCGAATGTCAAACTGATGTGTTTAGAAAAGTCTTGGTTGAGATATAGATGGCACATGCATAGGGCAGGGTATGCTACCTGCTGTTTTACTAAAAAGATGAAATTCTCCACTTGTCTGGTTTGTTAATGATGTCAAAGTACTGCTGCTCAGGTGAGAATTTAGAGTAAGAAGATACAAGCCCTCTGTATGTTACGCTTGTTCTACAACAGCATGCATCCTGGCACCAAACTGCCTGATAGTATATCAGTGGTGACTTTTGTGATGAATGCCAACATTCGGCCCCTTTAAGAGTCACAGTAAAACGTGAGGGTCTGGAGTTCTAACTGTGCTGGAGAGCAGTGTGGCTTCTTCATCTTCCCCCCAGCAAAGGAGCACTGGCTGGTGTCCACGCTTCAGCCTTTAACCCCTAGGAAAACAAATTGTTGGCGTTGAAGGAAAATGCCAGTGGCGTTCTTCTGCAAAAAGAACATCCATTAGTCAAGAGGGAGATATAGAAGTAAGTTCTGTTTGGACCGAGCACACCACTGCTCCTCACATGAAAAGGCAACATTAGAAATATATCCTGCCATCCTATCATCTTTGGAAGCAGACTTCAATCCTTCAGCAGCTCTCCCCCAAATTAGCCAGTTCACATCCCCAAGCGTTAATCTTCATGTTTTTCTATTTAGAGGGTCTCCACATCCCCGGCTTGGCTTAGGAATTACAGACAGCTGAGCACTGATTGTGAGCCAAGCGCCAAGCCTCGCCTGTTTGAGGCAGGTTGCCCTCTCTGCAAAGGCTGCCGCTGCCCCTGCCTTGCATGTGAGAAAACTAAGTAACTGAGAGGTTAAGCCGTTTACCTAAAGCCCCTCAGCTGGTGAGTGACGAGTGGAGTCAGAACACTCCAGTCTAATAGTGCGGCCATGACACACAACCCTAACGTTAAATCAGAGCCAGGATCTCGATTAGAGTCAGTTCACTTGCTGATCTGCCTCTGGGACATTTATACAACAGTAAGTCAAACTATCTCCTTCTTAATTTTTTTTTTTTAGTTTAATAGATTTCATTTTTTTTTTATAATTTATTCATTTTGTGTCCCAGTTGTAGCCCCCTCCCTCGTCTCCTCCCAGTCCCACCATCTCTCCCACTTCCTCCCCTAATTGCTAAGAAGCTGGGATTCAGGTATTCTACCACAGTGAAATGAAATGACAAAATAATAATTTCCTAAAAACAAAAGGCAAGCCACAGAGCCACATCCTTTGTCTCCTTCCCTAGACCTGTGGTGGGTTCTGAATCACTCCTCCGTATTACGGTGCATACTAAGACATCATAATTGATAAGAAATGGTGTAACTCGACCCTTGAGTAACTTCTATTGTTGAGCACCTTACAAGCGTCAGCCATATTTACCTTGAGCAAGCCTCGGAAGCAGAGAAGTACTACGATGCACACACATGAGCCTTTAATCTTTGTCTTCTCGATGGTCAACTATTACTACTTGACAATGACGAATATTTCCTAAGATAGTCATTAAATAAAAGTATTTTTAAAAATAAAAAATAAACTAAAAATTTTGTTGTCGTCTGTTCTCCCTCATACACCATCCTCCCTGGGTACACAGGAAAATGGACAAAGAAAATATGGTGGTCCTCCTCCAGGCTGGGACACTGCACCTCCAGAAAGAGGCTGTGAGATTTTCATCGGAAAACTTCCCCGGGACCTTTTTGAGGATGAACTCATACCATTGTGTGAAAAAGTGAGTCCAGATTTAATTTGTTCTTTCAGAGGAAAAATATCATTCTCTTTAGTTTGCTTTTACTGCTTTCACCTTTCTTTTACGTCTCTGAGTGCAAGGCATGTGTATGATGTCTGTGTATTTATGTGCATGCGTGTGAATGTGAATGAAGGCAACACAGTACATGTGTGGGAGTCAGAGGACAGCATCAGTGTCTGTCTGCAGACACTGTATTCTATTTCATTTGAGTCAGGCCTCTTCTTGTTCACTACTGTAAATGCAAGGCTAGCTGGCTTATAAACGCCCAGATTTCTCCTGTCTGGGCCTCCCATCACTGTAGGAGCCTGGGATTATAGATGTGTTCTATTGCATCTGGACTTACAGAGATGCTCACGCTTGTATGGAAAGCACTTTACCTGTACCATCTCCCTAGTGCCCAGTCAATGATTCTCTCCCAAATTCCACACATCAAAAATGTTAAAATCTCCCTAGCTATTAGTGACTGTCCCTCATCATTAGTGCCTTTGCCCAGCTCTTTGTCCTTGTTGGACTGATAACTTGAATTCTCAAATTCATATCTTTTCCCCTAATCTCTTTGCTGGCAGCTGAATCACTGCAAATGTGTAGTAATCTGTCATCGATAAGATATTTGCTCCAATTTGACATCTTAATATGACTTTATACAGCATTCCATATAAGAAATTACGCATGTTTGCCATGGCTTAAATATGTGTCTATACATATTGACTCAAATTTTTCTTCTGCAAGTAGAAGTGATTGTCTTACTTAATGCACAGAACAGATTAAGAACATGGCTACTCAATGTCCTTACATGATTACTGAGAAATATGTTTCCCTAGTTCCAAATGGCATCTTGATATTAAATCCAAAGTTGTAGAAAGAACACAACCTGAAAGTTAATTTGTAATACGTTGTCAGATGTACTTTTTCAGCGAGCACATTTTGTATGAGAATTTGGCTCTTTTCCCTAAGTGACAAAAATAAACTGTTAACATGTGCAGCCTCTAAATCATGACCACTGATTCTCTGCAAAAATTCCCAGCTGAAACACCAAATTTCCTGAGAGTGGGAGACACGTGGAACAGGTAAAAACTTAGGTCACTCTTTCGCCGAGAAGAAATAGAAGTTCCTCAGTGAGTTCTTTGAAGCTCGGTAGAGTACGGTTAAGCAATGAGCATCCAAGCCCTGAAGAAATGTGAGGCTTAATGGCATCTCTTCCCACATACCTATTGTGTGTACTTGGTCCACCCTGCTTACAAGAGCTAGGGTCAATCGACTGCTTAGTCTGGATTATTCAAGATAGTTGGAGTGCAGGAGACTAAGGGCAACCAGGATGGATGGAGAGCAAGCACTCTTTTGCTATGAGGTTGTAGTGAACTCTATCAGTTGTAGTCAACCTAGCATCCATTTTCAACAGAGAAGCTGCCCAAATACAACCGCCTACAAAACACACTGCATTCATTCCAACATCACAGCAGTGGGGAAAAAAACAGGCAGGAAGTTAGTCTAGCAAGGTCCCAAAAGAGTATCCTTGTTTCCTGTTTTAGAGGTCAGTGACAGAGCATAAGCAAGTAAAGGTCAAAGCATGAAGACGTTAGGAGACAATTCAGAAGGCACAGGCAAATCTATCAGGAAACTGTACTTCTGATGACAAATGCATTTTTGGGTCCCCAAGACATTACATAAATCTCTAGATAGTTCTATGACAAAAGGTCATTTGCTCAGCCAGAAGCCCATTTTGTTAGCTGAGGCTGAAATGCCATTTGTCTATATTTTCTTTATTTAACTTGGCTTTTCCCAAGAGTTAGATAATTAATCTGAAGCCAGCACAAAAGTATGCAAACCATTCCTCAGGGATACAAACGTCAAACATGGCAGGAGGCAGTCCAAGCAAGCACTGTGCATGTGTGCGTGTGTGTGTGCGTGCGGGTGTGTGCGTCTTTGCATATGTGTGTGTCATATGTATGGAAGTATGACTATGTAAACAGTAATGTTCTGTTTCTATTCACTACAGATTGGCAAAGTTTATGAAATGAGAATGATGATGGATTTTAATGGCAACAACAGAGGCTACGCGTTTGTGACATTCTCAACTAAGCAGGAAGCCAAGAATGCAATCAAGCAACTTAATAATTATGAAATTCGGTAAGTTCTTCACCTGCTGCGCTCAAACTGAATCCAGAGTGCACCTGCATCTGTTTTCTATCAAGCCAGAGTATGTGGATGAGCTAGCCAAACTAGGAATAAAATGCCAGATCTTTCTCTGGTAAAAATGATCTGGTTAAACATTTATTTAATCTCAATACTGTATGGGGTAATAAAAGTTTACAGAGATAAAAAAAATTATTATTTAACTAATTTCATCAATATATACTGAATATTCTGCAATATATTAGAAATATATCAAGCTATCGACTGTTCCCATAGGACACAAATATAAGTTTAAATAAATAACTTGAAAACATTAAACCAAGGAGAGGTAGCATTTGCAGAGAGAATGCTACTGGAATTTGGTGGTTTTAAGAAAATGCTTTATGAGAAAGTAAAATTTTATCTGATATTTGGATGAAAAATTCAGTCAAGACAGTCAGACCCTAAACAAGGTTATTCAAAAAAGAGAAAAAGCAAAAAATCAAGTACAAAATTCCTAAAATTAAAATAAATTTGATGTTTATTGTGTTTGAAAGACAGGAAGAAAAATCCAGAAGGGGAAAAAGAAAAGGAAAAAAAAAAAAAAGAAAGAAAGTACAGTTGTAGAATATTATCCCTGTTGAAGAATCTGAACTTACTTATATAAAAATCTAGAATTGGAGGATAATTTTAATTGGCTTAATGTGTTTTAAAGCATTGTTATAGCTGTTGGGTACACAGTGAACTACAGCGGAGCCGGGGCTGAAAGATGGAAACCATGTCGAAGGCTTAGGCACATTTCAGATCCAGACAGGGAGTGACAGTGACTGTGTGAGAGATCTCAAGAAAAAGTTACAGAAGGTTGAGGAACTAGGCACACTGCAGAAGCTGGAAGAGGGGACAGGATGACTAGCTATATCACGTTTAACGTGTGAGTGCATTCAGAATCGGGGGGAAATAACGTGAGATTTGGGTCCATGCATCTGTGCGAGTGGGTGTGCCCTTGGGAGCAGGGGAAAGCAGGAGGCCTAGGAAGTGTTAGACACCTCAGGCGCGTGGAGGCAGGAGAAGGCGCACGGTTACAGCATTCCCACAGCATTTAAAACCATGAGACCCCAGGAGGACTCCATGTCACAAACGATGATGTATGACCAATAATCTGTTTTTTTAAGACTGTCTTTCTAAAAACACAACTTGGGACAAAACCTATAGTAAATCTTTTCTTAAAGAAAGCCCTGGGCCACCTGGGAGAACCAGTAACAGTAGTGAAACAGCAAAATCTTTAGGTCAACCAAGCTTCACTTAAGGGCCAGCAAGCAGTTGCTTCTTTGTGGCTCAATTTCATTTGTTTAAGGATTACTTTATTTTGAATTATGCATATGCCTATGTATAGGGGTGTGTGTGTGTGTGTGTGTGTGTGTGTGTGTGTGTGTGTGTATACACATGTGTGTCTGTGCCTGCATAGTCCAGAAGAGGGCATCTGATCTCCTGAGGCTGGACTTACAGGAGGTTGTGAGCCGCCCTATATGGATGCTGGGAACCAAGTTGGGTCCTTTGCAGGAACAGTACATGCTTCAAACCTTGACCCATCCCTCCAGCCCTAACTTTCATCTATAAAGTGGAGATTATATCCATTTCCCAGGTTTAATTGTAGAAATAATTCAGAGTTTGAAAACTCAATGCAGTGTTTAGAACGGAGCAGCCAAGAGATGACAAAAGTGGCCAAGGTTCAGCTCCAAGATTCAGTTCCCACATTTATCCCTTTCCTGTAATGCAGAGGAACCTTAAAATTGGCAGAATCTTAACTTTGATAAACATCGACGGAGAGGCCCCTCCTACTGTCCCTACTTCTTATAAGGAAGTACATTACATCACAAAGCATCCTCATAACCCTGAGAAGAAATTAATAACTAGCTCATTTTTTCTTAAGCTCTTTAGCTACATGAAGAATGATTGGGTGTGGCAACCTTTACTGTCCACGCTGCTCAGTTCCAAGGTTGGGTTCTAGAACAGAACGAGGAGAAGACCAAATAGGTCTCTCTCCCGACCTGCTTCTATGGACCTAAAAGCAATCTGTGTGATGTGCAGAAGACTGGATTCACCATCAGAAGACCTGGGGGACTTTTTTCCTTTGGTAAAAACCTCTGACTCCTTAGAATATCACTTCTATCCCTGCACTTAATCACATCACACAGAGATGTTAGAAACATCATACAAGAATAGTATACACTGGCAAATCTGGAAAGGGTGTTGTGAAACTATAATTTAACCTGCTTTGTTAATGTCACAGTTATAAAAAAAAAAGTCAGTTTATAATAATGAAACCACAAATGAAAACATTGCAGGGGGCTGGAGAGATAGTTCAGTGGTTAGGCACCCCTGGAGCTCTTGCAGAGGAACTGGGTTCAGCTCCCAGCATCCACGTGGAGAACAATAACTGTCTGCAACTCCAGTACCCAGGGCTCTGACCTCATCTTATGGCCTCACAGGCACCAGACACAGACACGGTACGCATACACATCTACAGGTACTCACACAGACACATAAATTAAATAAATAAATATTTTAAATAAATTATACCATTTCAAAAAGCAGTTAGATTAAGGTAGCCACTCAAACAGAATTTACATAACATATAATTTATATATATCATATATTTCATACACACACACATATGGTTTCAGGAATAGAAAGATTCCCCATTCCTTGGTCTATGAAACACATTATCAGTAAGAGCTATTCCAAAGTAACTTTTAAGTTGAAATATACATGGAATTGGCTGTGTTGGAGATTGACAGCTAGATGTATCTACTCAACCCACAGCTACCTACTGGGTCCTACCAATGCAATTGAAAATAAAGAAGATATTAAAAATAAATACCATCCTGCTACCAGGATGACTGTTCATTGGCAGTGTCCTCAGCGAATCTCACTGTCTTTTGTATAAAGCAGACAGAATTACTTATATCTCACAGGGTATCATAAAATTAACAAAGATAAGGTGCTCAAATCTCTGTACCTCAAAGGGTCAGGTGCTCTGTAAACTGACTGGGAGTGATGAGGGGGAGGGAAAATATGATAAAAATTTTTGGAAAGAGAAAGTGGCCAAGATCACAGGCAAATCTCCAATTGGAAGCCAAAGCAAGGTAAAGGCACAAAGAACCTTCACAAATTAAGGGGGTGAGATAAATTTAACACGAACTTGTCAAGGAGAGACCACAAAGCTACCTCCACGACTTCCACCCTGCCTTAATCAGTCTGCCAGAAAGAAAACCTTTCTTCCAAAAAGGAACAATAAGTTTTACTTTGCTGTCAGCCACCATTTCTCAGGGGATGGATGAGGCTATTACCCAGAAAAGACCAACAGTTATCACATCATCTTCCTCCCCATCAAATATTCACTGAGCACCCTCTAAATGCCTGGCTTCTGGAGACATTAAAATCATGTCCTTAGCTTGTGAGAAATTGTGTTTTGTCTCCAGGCAATTCTGGGAAAGGATGTTGACCAGCCATACGCATTTAGAAACTCTAGACTCTCCCCTGCTAGCAACTGATACCAGAACAGCACACTAACCACAAATAAATAAATAAAATGATCTGTAAGTAAGTGAGAGAGGTATTTGTGTTTTCCTAAGTAAAATTTAAGATACGTATAACTAGGGGCTAGAGTGTGCTTGCCTTGCATGCACAGGGCCTGGGTTTTGATCCAGGCATCACACAAGCCAGGATGGTGCTACACAATAATAATCTCAGCCCTTGAGAAAGGGGGGAGCAGAAGAATTAGTTCAAGGTCATAGCTGTCCATGTGCTGAGTTCGGAGGCATCCTGACATACATGAGCTCCCAACTGAATGAAATAACAAAACAAGCAAACAAACATAATGACAGGAAGATGGCATTATCAGCGACCCCTCCCTGAGAATCTACATTCTCTGGAGAATGTCGGGAGAGTGAGGTGGGCTTGTCAGTGCTAACTCCTGCCCTCCGTTCTTTGGCAAAGGTGAGCAATGACCAGACAGTGACCCCAGGCAGGTCAGCACACCTACCCCACAACAAAGTGCCACCAGTTTCAAGAGAATCAGCCTGGTCTCCCACTTGCCTAGAGAAAAAGACCTTTTACTCATGACCAATAAGGAGTTTTTGTTAAGGATACCTCATTCTTTTCAGTAATGTCACATTTCTTATAAAAATCCAGCCTAATGTTTAACACATATAAGATATCAAAAAGTAAATGGTAAAAAAAAAAAAAAAAAAAAAAGTTAAAACTATTCATCCACAACCCTGGTGCCTAAAATATGTTAATAGTTGATTGTGTCTGCAGATTTTCTACATATTTTTTAAAAACTGAATGGCCTCACATACTTATTCTTATAGTCTTAAATAAAAACTGAGCAGTGCAATGTAAGGTGCTTCCTAGCTGCTAGATGTTCTTCTGTGTTGCTTTTGTTAGTGGCTGTAGAGCATCCTTTAGTGTGAAAGCCCATCTTCCGTTTCCTAGAGTGTCTCATCCAGAGGCCACACTGTCCACTCATAAGAGACCTTTAAAAAGGAAAAGGCGTTTTTGTATGACCTGACAATTATTTGTTGGCACTAAGTGGTCAAGAACCAGGGGTAGAGAGGTGGCTCAGTAGCTAAGGGCACGTGTTGCTCTTGCAGTTGATCTGGACTTGGTTCCCAGCTCCCACACGATGGTTTACAACTATGATTTACACGATGGTCTAAAACTCCAGTCCCAGAGGACCCAAAACCCTCTTCTGCAACCATGCATATGGTACACATGCATACACGTGGGCCAAATACTCATACATATAAAAATAGGAAAGCGTTTTAAAAGAGCCAAGGATAATATATTACGATACACAATGAAGCAAAGGCCAGGCCAAGAATATGTCATCTCAGCAAAGCTGCCTCGGAGTATCTCTGCATCCTAAGGCCCTGCATATTTCCAGTTCAGAGGATGTTCTGACTGATGGTGACCATCTTCACACCTGCGGCTTGGGCCTCACCTGTTTGCTGGGCTCTATCCAAGAGAGGCACTGTTTAGTCAACAGTTATGTGCACTTAAAACTTGTCAATCACCTGTAACAATGAAGCCATCCTTCATCTTACTGATGGGCAACTCTGCAAAGTAGGATGAACAGAGGCCCCGGGGTCAGTTGCACCTCTCAGAATCAGTAAGACCTTAACCGAATCACTAAATTTCTTGGACTCTCAAGTTTATTGTCTAGACAATAGAAATGACACCTATTTTGCTCATCTTGCAGGCTCTTTTCTATGGGACAAATAAGGTAACATAAGAAAATCTGTTACAGACAAGAGACCATCCCCGTTTTATTTTGTTTGATTTGTGTGTGTACATGTACATCAGGAGTATAGTAATCAGTTCTAGCCTCCCAACATGTGGGTCCAGAGATGGAACTCGGATCTTCAGGCTTATTACAAGCACCTCTACCCACTGAGCCACCTTGCTGGCTATGTGTAATTTTGGTTTTATTGGGGGGAGGGCTTTTAATGGTAAATAATCAGAAGAGCTTCTTGGCCTGGTGATAGTGTACATGAATCATGAAGCGTGGCAAGCCCCAGTGGCGCAGGGGAAGAAGATGAAGTGAGGAGGAAGGCCCAGTATAGCTGTCTTGGTACTGGGACATCCCAAAGAGGTGAGAATGGGTGGCAACTGGTGAATCCACATCCAGTCTAAAGAGACCAGGGACTAACCAGTTTTTCATCTGTTTTTCTTTCTTAAAAAGTTCAGAGGTCAGGGCTGTGTATATAGCTTAGTCCCAGAATCTTTTTAGCACACGAAAGGCTCTGGTATCACAAAAAAGGCGGGGAGGGGTGTCAGTCTATATTGAAACATCTTCTGACCTCTCTAGAGAAACCACCTGTCTTTGAAAGTGTAACACATTTGCAGCGTCTATCACTGTGCTCCATTGCACACGGATTCTCACTTTTGAAAATTGCTTTCTCTCTCTCTCTCTCTCTCTCTCTCTCTCTCTCTCTCTCTCTCTCTCCCTTAGCAATGGCCGTCTCCTAGGAGTCTGTGCCAGTGTGGACAACTGCCGACTGTTTGTGGGAGGGATCCCCAAAACCAAAAAGAGAGAGGAAATCTTATCAGAGATGAAAAAGGTCACAGAAGGAGTTGTTGATGTCATAGTCTACCCAAGTGCTGCAGATAAAACCAAAAACCGGGGATTCGCCTTTGTGGAATATGAGACTCACCGCGCAGCCGCCATGGCTAGGAGGAGGTTACTGCCAGGTAAGCCTTGCTCCTGAGCAGCACTCCAAACAGACAGCAGCCAAGGCATCCACTGTTTGAGCTTTGCTGTTGGGCTGCCTTTAAGTTCTTCATCTTGCTTATTGTTCTCACAGTTGATTCAGTTCCCTAAAGATTTGTTTGTTTATTTATTTATTTATTTATTTATTTATTTATTTATTTATTTCAATTCATTCATTTTATATCCTGGCTGTAGCCCCCTCCCTCATCTCCTCCTATTTCCACCCTACCCTCCCTCCCTCTTCTCCCCCTATGCTCTTCCCCTAGTCTCCTGATACGGAAGGACCTCCTTCCATTCCATCTGACCCTAGCCTATCACGTCTCATCAGGGCTGACTGCATCATCTTCCTCTGTGGCCTGGCAAGGCTGCACCCCCCCCCCCTCAGGGGGAGGTGATCAAAGAGCTGGCCACTGAGTTCATGTCAGAGACAGCCCCTATTCGCCTTACTAGCATCCTATGGGCTACATCTGAACAGGAGGCCTAGATCCTCTTCATGCATGGTCCTTAGTTGGAGTATCTGTTTCTGCAGGCCCCCTTGAGCCCAGAATTTTTTTTAGCTCTGTTGGTCTCCTTCAGTTCTCTAAAGATTTTACAGAATTGCTTTGGAAAGTTATGCATTTGTGCATCAGAACTTTGATAGAGAACCTTCCTACAGAGAAACTTCAGCGAATTTTCTTAAAACTAAACTGTAATCCCAGCACTCAGGAAGCAGAGGCCAGAGGATCTCTGCAAGTTTGAGGCTAGCCTGGTCTACAAAGTAAGTCTAGGACAGCCAAGGCTACACAGAGAAAGTCTGTCTCGAAACAACAAAACCAAACAAGACTGAACAAATCCATCACAGGTACAGCCGCATGTAGAGTAAGTTCACGGGCTAGTTAGAACGGGACTGGGTTACCTCTCATGGTGTAGACACACGCCAGCCTGTGGAACACCATCCCAAGGACAACCAACAGACACGTTTTCATCGTGTCTCCCAGTTTCTAATGATTTCCTTCTAACTGAAGATGAGAAACGTAAACATTCTTCGTCGACACCTCTGCTCAGGCTCTCCCGCCACTCATGTGAGCACCAAGCATCAATTCATGAATTTAACAACAGCACTGGCTGGGTCAGACCAGCACATGCAAATACTCAGAGGTCCTCGGCTTACCCTAAAACACTCAGTAAAAATCAACACACTTGAGTGCCAAGATGAATTCATGTTAATGGGAGAAGCCATCTAGAGAAGTGGTTGTGAACTGTCCTACTACTGAGACCCTTTAATACAGTTCCTCCTGTTGTGGTGACCCCCAACCATAAAATTATTTCGTTACTACTTCTTAACTGTAATTTTGCTACGGTTATCAATTGTAACGTACATATCTAATATGAAAACTAGCTGATATGTGACCCCAACAGGTTGAGACCCACTTTTCTAGCGTGGCAAGTACTAGGGTACACTCCTCTTATGAAAACTACGAATGAGAGACAGGGTTGCAGGAGTGGAACACAACAAAACTCTGGATTTATTTTGCCCTCACACAAGTTTTGTTGCTCGTTCCTGTTGTTTTTAATGGAGCTGTTGGTTGGACAGGGTGCCTTGAGCTGTCATTCTATCACCCAGCTATGTCCTGGCCCTGCATACATTCTTTCAAAATTAGGCTACAAGGCATCAGACATCACTGTTTTAGGAGACTCCCTCCCCGTCGTCTTCTTTTCTTCACCTCCTCTGATTCTCCACATCACCTCTCTCCCCCCCCCAGCCTTTTGTCCACTCTCACGTCACACGTGTCCTTTTGCCCTACTCATCCTCCTTGCCGCTTTTTTTAAACCTCCTCTTGGTTTTGTCTCTAGGTTGTCTACTCTACCCACATTTACACCCACTCACAGACGCATGCATACACATTCCGAGCTGGGATCCACAGGGGGAAGGAAAAACACGGTTCGTGTCACTCTGACTTTGAGTCCCTCTATTTAAAACCACACGTCCCAGATTTCATCTCTGTTGCTGTGATGGGATACTGACCAAAATCAACTGGGGCTGGAAAGGATTCATTTGGCTTACAGATTTCCACAGTCCGTCAAAGACAGAATCCTGGAGACAGAAATGGAAGCAGAACACACTTCATATCTGTACACACTTTCGTTTTCCATCCACCTGTTGATGGACATCGAGGCTGAGTCTTGTTCCTTGATATCGCGAATAAAACAGCAATGAACATGTCGAATATGGAGTCCTTTCAGTATATACCTAGGAGTGTTGTAGCTGGATAAAATGATAGTTCTCTAAGGTTTTTTGAGAAGCCCCCACGGTGACTTCCATAATGGTTATTCTAGTGTGCATTCCCATCAGCAGTGAATAAGGCTTCCTCTTTCTCACATTCTTGCCAGCTTTCACTGTCCAGTTTCTTGATGTTAGCCATTCCAGTGGTACCTCAAAGTAGTTGTAATACACATGTTCCTGGTCCTAGGGATGTTGAACACTTTTAAAAATACTTACTGGCCAGTTTGGTTTTGTTGATTTTGTCCTTTGAGAATTGTCTGTTCATTAGCACTTTTGTTCATTGGCAATTTGGGGGAGAGTTTAAATTTTGCAGCTTTCTTTACAAATCTTGAGCAGCTTTCTGAAGTGTAGCTGGTGACGATTTTGACCATCCTGTGGGCTGCAATGTTCACTCTGCTGACAGTGTCTTTTTCCATGCAGAAACTTCTCAATTTCCTGTGGTCCCATTTGGGCATTCTGGGGCCAATTCCTGAGCCACTGTAGCTCTGTTCAGAAAGTTCTTGCATACTCTTGAGGTGTACGCCTTATATTTTCCTCCAGCAGTTTCAGGTTTGTTTTGTTGTTTGTTTGTTTTGAGACAAGGTTTTTCTGTGCAGCCTTGACTGTCCTCGATTCACTTTGTAGACCAGAATGTCCTCAAATTCCCAGAGATCCACCTGCCTCTGCCTCCCCGAGTGATGGGATTACAGGCATGTGCCACCACGTCCAGCTCAGTTTCAGGTTTTAAATTAAGGTCTTTGATCCAGTTTAAGTTGATATTTTTTTTGTATAGGAAGAAAGAGACTGATCTAATTTCATTCTTCCAAATATCCATTTTTTCCATCACCACTTATTGAACAGGCTTTCTTTCCTTATCCACCCCTGCCCCCGCCCTGCCACTGCTTGTCTTTGGCCTCTTTGTCAACAATTAGTTATTAATGGGTTTGTCACTTTATTTCTGGCTCATGAATTCCTGCACATATTCTTAAGTAAAGAAACAAAACAGTATTAGGGATACTCCTCCAAAAATGTTCAACATTTAGAGATAGCTTCCAAGTTGAGTAAGATTGTGTTAGACCCAAAAACTGCTGAATTTAGTGAAGTGATGGATGCCTTTCCATGTTGATGCTTTTTCATAGTGTTCTAGATAGTGGCCAAGTCTTCTGAGTCAAGGGCACAGACAAGGAGCGTTCTTAGCCTCTTCATGACCTGGACTTAATCTTTTCCATTTCATTTAGTTTTGTCCACCACTGTGCATCAGGTGTGTGCCTGGTGCCTGTGGAGCCAGAAGAGGGTGCTAGATCTCCTCAAATTGGAGGTAACAGACAGTTGTGAGCCATTGTGTAGGTTTTCAGAGTTGAGTGCATGCAGAAGAGCAGCAAATGCTCTTAACTGTTGAGTTATCTCTCCGGGCCCAGCTTACTGTTTTCATATGGTTTAGAGTAAAGGCCAAATTTCTACGGGTGGATTAGGATACCCACTCTACCCAGTAATTGTTTTAAAATCTTGTTATTTAGCACAGCCTGACCTCAAACTTGAGCGTCTCCTGCCTCCACCTCACAAGTACCATTATGCCCGACACTGATGGCCCTAGAGCTATTAAAGAGACTGCACTTTTTGTTTGTACGCTCTTGACACCTCTGCCAAAGATCATGATTGATTTGTTTGCTTGTTTGGTTGTTGTTTGTTTTTTGAGAGAGTTTCTCTGTGTAGCCCCAGCTGTCCTGAAACTCTCTGTAGACCACGCTGGCCTTGAACTCACATCAATCCTCCTGCCTCTGCTTCCCAAGAGCTGGGATTAAAGGTGTGTGCCACCACAACAGACCATGGTTGACTTTTAAGGAATAAAAGGATGGGTATTTGTTTCCCCTGTGTAATGATTATACAAATAAATCCTTCGCAACACTAATTTTGTTCTGTGCTTTCTAAGAGATAGATACAGCTTGCTTCCATTTTCCATGGAATTTGGAAATTGAGTTGATTTCTCATCCTTATCCCACCACTTCAACATGGAACCTCCAGGAATGTGGTTTCAGAGTGGCAAAAACCAAAAGGGAGAGAGTACTAAAGGGAAATTACTGTTAACTGGCCCACTTGGAAGCTCTGAAATTAGGCGATACCCCCTCCTTTCACAAGGTCATGATGAGAAAGAACGAAGAGGCTCATGGGAAAAACACAGTACAGTGAGAAATATCCCATGAGTTACCACTGTAGGGGTACAGGAACGCGTGTTGACTCGGATAACAACTTCTTTTTTAAGACGAGTTAAATTTCTCGTCACCAACTTTTTTCTTGGTCTTCTCTGAACTGGGGTTTTTAAAAATATGTTTTCTCCAAGTTCTCACATTGCCTGTATATTCAGACAGAAGATGTGAAAGGGACACGGTTGGTCTGAACCCTGGATCAAGTATGAGGGACTGAGAACAAAGAATGCTTGGCCCCACCTACCCTCCCTCATTTGTGTAAGTCTCAGTGGTGGTGTCTGGCTAATAGATAACACATTCCAACTTCAAAGGATGCTGTCCGAGCAGCCTTTTAATGCTTCACGGAGTCAGACTCTGTGTCTGGAGTCCTAAATCCACCCTTTGCCTTTCTCCCCTTTTATTTTTCTCACCTTAAAGACTACCTCCCCCTTGTAAAAGCTGTCTTGAGAGTCAAACATGCTCGCCACTTCCTCACTTCTTCTCCATTTGCAACCACATCCTACTTCCCTTTACATTCAATCATTATGATAAGCCACCAGTCGCACGGAAGTCTGTTCTGTCCAACTATTGCATCATTTGAATGTCTTAAAATCAATAATAATCTTTTTTAGTGGTCTTAGTCATTTAAGTCCTTAACGGTCAGTTCACTTTAGGAGACCATCAGCATGAGCTGAGATGATGTCCTGATTTCTAAATAATTAATCATTCTTCGGATCATCGTCAACAGGAAGAATCCAGTTGTGGGGACATCCAATTGCAGTAGACTGGGCAGAGCCAGAAATTGAAGTTGATGAAGACACGATGTCTTCAGTGAAAATCCTGTATGTAAGAAACCTCATGTTGTCTACCTCGGAAGAGATGATTGAAAAAGAATTCAACAGTATTAAACCAGGTAGGACACACGCATAATTACTTCTTCAGAGTGTACTTTAAAAGCACTTGTGCCAGAGACCATTATCCATAACTTTAAAGAGAATAGTTTTATTTAGTCCCTTCTCCTAATCGATCTGGTGTTACTCAGTTATTTTTCCATTTGGGGATCAGAAAGATACACACGGTCCTACAGCATTTAGGAATATTACGATTTGGATTTGTATTTACCTGTCTAGTTATTTAACGAATATGCATTACCTCTGCTAAATTAAATTCTGCCAGTACTTACTCTATTTAGCTCCTGTGTCCCTAGACCTTCAGACTAAGAACTGAGTAAATATTTACTGTGCTAATGATGCCTGTTTCTTACTGGAGGTCTAACCACTAATACAAGGTTTCCCAACCTCTTTGCAACTGACGTTTTGGAGCAAATCATCCTTGGTGGATTTCAGAGTATTGAGCAACGTGCAAGGTCCATGCCTACTTCATGCCAGCTCTAGCAACCTGTCCCAGGTGACAGCCAAAAGCATCTCTAGTCATTTCTATTCGTATGTCTGGAAATGAACTCAGCCACACCAGCCTATGTTTATCATAGGAACATCTTCTCATAACTGAGAATTTCTTGGGCTTCTGGCAAATTCTATAGGAAGCTAACAAGCATGGGTTGTGGTGCTGTCATGCTAAGCCTCCTGACAGTATTCATACTCTCAGACTCTCTGTTTCCGACCGCAAGTAGATATGATATTACATGTATAGTAGGATGATACACATATAATTTTTCTCTACAGATAATTGTCAGCACTATTATTTTTTTCCCTTTAGATTTCTCAAATATTTGTCTTCCTTCAGCCTCAAGAGCTCTGCCTTCCTTGGCATTTAGTATCATGGCGTGGCTACATACCAACAGCTGTGGATTCATAGCTAATACAGAAACTACAAAAGAAAAAAAAAATTCCACTAGAATTAGAGTGGGCGTGTTCACATCACATGTCCTTGATTCATCACAATGGCCCTATCGTGGAGGTTCCTTCATGGTGTCTATTATTTCCTATAACTCGAAAAACAGCGTTTGGAGTAGTTAAATAGTCACACAGCTAGCAGCTGGCAGACCCCATATTTAACAACTTCATGAACCCCCACATCCATCCTCATTCCATTCACTCACTCATTCATGCAGCTGCTGTCCCTGCAGTAGCTCCAACATGCCACACACTGTGGGAGGAATTAACAGATGTGATCTCTGTGTGGAAGGAATTTACAGAGAAGTAATAGCTCTTGGAATGCAGAGAAAAGCCGTATTTAAGAGAAGTCACTCGTAGATGCGAGCTGAAGGCCAATGGGGTCGTGCCGGGCTAGGAACTTGTACTTATGTTGTTTCCATTCTCAGTTAGGTTCTGTTTTTCCCAGAGTGAATAATACTTTCCCATCCAACTAAAATGATGCTTTTTGGTTTTGAAAGAGCTTAGAATGAGAAACTGCCAAAAAAGACTGATTCTTCTTACAGCGAATGATTATCAGCCTGGTCTGCACATTTAAGATAGATGTGCCTAGACTCTAGTACACTAGACACTGTAAGAAAATAATGATGATAGCCTGTTCATTCTCTCCCGCATCCTCTCTTCTCCCCTTTTACCCCCACGGCTCCAGCCACTACCACCCCCAGAATTACTGTTTTATCCTTATTTTCAGCTTAAAACATTTCCAACAATTCTAGGGCACTTCTTGGACCAATGGCACATCCCTCGGTACTCTGTAAGGATGTGAATGATGTGTATCCTATCCTGCTTCACCTTCTGCAAGAGAATATGAACAGCTAGCAGAGATATGACCTATGGAGAGAAGAAAATTAAAGCCACAAATTTATCTTTCCTTACAGGGCTCCAGTGTATTAAGATTATATTAGAAAACTTTGTGGAAAGAGAAAGATAATATTAAATTTTTCTTTAAAAGGTTTTGGGTTTTCGGAGAAACCTTAGTATTCATTGAAAATCTGATTTTGTATATCATCTAAACCATGACCTGTCCTAGAAAAATGCTGCATCGATGCTCTGGAAAGCAAAGGACAATCGCCACAGAGACCTCAGGCCATCGTTGTTTTGTTCCCATGTAGCCTCGGGCATCTGCTGGAGTTCTAAGTATGGTCATTCTATGAAATCTGATTTCTTAAACAGTTCAGCGGCAGCAGAATCACACGAAGGGCTGAAGAAAAAAAAAAAAAAACACAGATTGTTTACCCCATCTGGTTAAGTCCACAAATTTTTATTTCTGAAGTTCCCACGTGAAGCTAATGCTACTGAATAAGGGACTACGCTTTGAGCCCGTTTTTCTAATTCCTGTGTTAGGATCACAGATCCAGTTCTTCTTTACTGGTGGACAATCCATGAATATTGATTACTAAGAAGGAGGATATTAAAGTAAGGCATGTGTTCACTGCTATACTACAGAAGCTAGTCAATAACCATATGTGCTGGCTCTTGTGTGGTCTCTAAGTAGGGTTGGATCTGGGTAATACCGAGATGAAAGAAATTCATGTTGTACTATTTAAACCCCTGTTTTCTAATTTATTTTTTGTGCTCAGATTTTCACGAATGAAGCTGTCCATGAGCAGGTGTGTTTGAAAAAGACATAATGTGTCCTAAAAAAAAAGGCATAATGATTTCAATATTAGCAAGAATTTCAGAGCACCCAAATCCATTATCAACATAAATGCCACATAACTAATAGGAGCGATGGCAGCATATGAAGATTGACTAATAATATACTGTTTCTGTATGTGTTTAAAGAAAGACTAGTTCTGGTATCTTTGCCACTAAACAAGAAGTAAGTAAAGACGATATCTTGCTTCTTGGGAAACTAGAGATCAGGGAGAGCAGAGTGGCGTGGAAGGACTGAGGCCATCTGGGATGACTCCTCAGTTCTCATATACCAAGACAAGCCATGGAATGGAGCCATTGTGTCACTCCATCCAACACTGACGGGATGAGGAGGATGGCCTAAAAGCTCAGTTAATTATATGCCCCATGCTTCACGGGCTCACATGCCATTATTTAATTTTCTCAGTCTGGTCAGATAGTTTTGTTCTGTATAATTATTGTCATAAGAAGCTAAGGGCTGAATAGTAAGGGGAGAGAGAAGAGTACTATTGCAATGTTTTTAAATTATTCTGAGATTAAATGTCTCTCATTGTCCCAAAGGAAGGTAATTCACAGTCACTGAACCATGGGGAACATGGGAGCTCTAAACGCTAAAGTGACCCTGAATCTGAGAAAACAACTGAAGTCTGATAGGGAAAGGATTTTCTCCTCTTCCTAGTCTTCCTGAGAATAGCCTTATGTCATATTGACTCTGAGAACCACGGGTAAGTAAAGAAAAACTAGCCTCTCAAAAAGACACCAGGTTAATGGAAGCTGGAGCATAACCAGTGTGCTCAAGTGCTGGTGAAACAGGTTTCCCTTAACCACCTCCTAAGGAAAAAAGTTCCTCTAGAAAACTGAGTGAGCAACAGTATATTTAAAAGACAACATTAAGCATCTTTGTGCAACTGCTTTGTTTTTACCTGATACCATCAATATGTATAGCAGTTTTTCTACATGAAAATAGGGGAAGTTGCTTTCTGGATGCTTTTACACAACAGTTTTCTGTAAAACTAACTTGACTAATCTTTATAAAAAAAATACATCAATTAAAATGTTTTCATTCTTGGGGCAGGAAGAGAAAATTCAATGGTAAAAGCACATGTGAGTCTGATCTCTTTAAAGACTCAATGGATTTGGTATAAATGAATCAAATTTAATCATTTCTGAGAAAATGACTCTTGCTTTATTTTGCTGTTTCTAAAGTAGTATAGCTGGTGTCTTTATAGAAAACCCTTCTTCATATGCTTAAATTCTTCTGTATGAAGAAACTACTTAGAATTATCTAACTAGGATTATCTAACTTTTTCCAACCTTTCCATACTAGAGACAGAAATTATCTTAGATTTCAGACGTTCTTTCAGAAGCAAGATTTTTTTTAATTTAAGGGTATTAATTAAAAGTATAGAACATATGATTGTAGCTATGTGCTGTGTGAATTATAAATCCCCTTTTGTTGGAACCATGGCCTCCTCATATTTATATAAAAGAAAAATTAAACAGAAATTAGCACAGAGCATTGCTAAAATCTTCCCTAAATCCAAGTTTCTTTTGTAGAAAATAGAATAGTGTATTTTCTGGGAAGTGGGAGTAACATTTCTAATGGTCATGAGTTAGTCTTTGCCTCAGGCTTCGGCAGTGTCCAGGTTCAGACTGCATTGACATCATGCTCATCTACCAGCATGATGACCTTGAGAAAAACCTTTGTCCAGTAAAGAATATGTCACAGACACCCATCAGATTCTCCATGTGTCCAGAGCTCCCTTCTCTTGCCAGCATACTTGGATGGATACTTCACCACAGGACATGGGATCAGGCATTCCAAGCAGCCACACTAACCCAGACTGGGGGTTGGGAGGGCAGGGGAGTAGCGAATACTCCTGGGGTGAAATTTGACCGATGGGGATAGGCTGGTAAATTATTCCTTCTCTCATGCCCGTGAATTATTGCACAGCATTGTTTTTTCTCCACAACAGTGTCTTGGGGAAGACTTCAGTGGCCAGTTGATAACACCTGCCTCTCCTCTCCTGGTAGCATGCAGTAACTCCCTGTTCACACTACCTCACTCTAGATCCACTTGCATTTTCTTACTCCTACACCTTGCTTTGAACCTCCCAAATAGAAACAGTATATTAGAGTAAATGAGTTAACTGTATGTATATAGATGACCCTAACTGAGCTCAAGTCAATTTAATAACACTTTACCTTGTACGGAGTATTATTATCTTTTATGTTTCTTACCATATCTATCTTTACATCTTCTTACTAAGGTGTCATTCTTACTCTTAAATGTCTTAAAATCTGTGACTTCTGAAACATAATTCATAACTATTTATAATAAACCAGATTATAAATATTTTCATGGCAAGCAAAAGCTGATGTAGACTATAAGGAATTCTAAACCTCAACACACAAAAGAGCCTCTCAGTATGCTTACCCCCTTGGAAACTAATCAGACCACTGTCTCCAGTTTGCTAACGGTGCTGCTGGCATCTACAGGTGCTGTGGAACGGGTGAAGAAGATCCGAGACTACGCGTTTGTGCATTTCAGTAAGCGAGAAGATGCACTTGAAGCTATGAAAGCTTTAAATGGCAAGGTAATTCAGGAGGAAAGAAAATACACACAGATTCCACCATGTTTGGCAGGGGCACGCTATACCAAAGAATTATCTCAGGAGTTCATGTCACCCCAGCTTTCCCCATTGTTGGCAGAGAACCTGCCATCCTTTTGGAGATGCATAATATAGAAATAACAGGAAAAAAATTGGAGAACAAAGAGGTGGCTGGGTAGTAAATCTTAATAATTATTTTTTCTGATTTGAACAAGTCACTGGCCTCAATTTTCCTGAGAAGGGGTTAAAGTTTTTCAAGGTATTTCCCGTCTTGTTAAGTGTCCTCTTGTTGTGAAGAGGCACCGTGACCAAGACAGCTCTTATAAAAAGAAAGCAGTTAATTGGGGTCTTGCTTACAGTTTCAGAGGTGAGTCCATTGTTATCATGACAGGAAACATCCAGCTGGCAGGCAGGCAGGCTGCTTTACATGAGAGTACCTGCGAGCTTTGCATGCTGATGTGCAGGCATCAGACAAAGAGAGAAGCTGAGCCTGGTGTGGGCTTTTGAAACCTCAAGGCCTACCCCCAGCAACACACCTCCTCCAACAAAGCCACACTCCTAATTTTTCCAGTTCATCAACAAGGGACTAAACACAAAAACATGTGCCCATGGGGGACATTCTCATTCAACCACCGTATCCCCCAAGTTCCAATTATATCTAATTACTGCACTTTATAATGCAGTCATTTATGGACCATTATTCAGAAAAGAATGTCAAGATGGCTGTCATTCTGACATCAGTATTTGATCATCCCAACATGGGGGCTTATAATTCCTCTCTTTGCCAAGAGTAGAGTCTGGGAGAAAATCAACTTCTGTATTCCTACGGCTCATTTGACTACTGAAACCTAGGTATTTACAGTAATCAAATAAACACTAAAACATCTATGGGCCACTGATCTGCTAGTGATGTCCAAGATGAAAAATTAATCAAAGCAAAGATGCTTGTCAAAGGGCTAAGAGTCTAGAGAACTAAGTCAGGGCCACAAGCACCTTTGCAACATAGTCAGTTCAAGGTTATCAGGAGACATTTAAAAGTAGAAAGTTCAGATAAAGAAGAGGGTCATCAGCATTCAGAAAACCATCATGGACATATATACAAAACATCATGGATAATATATAAAAGAGCCTACGAAAACTGGATATACTTTCAAAAAGTAAATTATGGCCAGGAGAGTCTGTCTTTGTGGCAAAATGTAAGATTATCAAGAGAAAATCTGAGAACAGCAAATTGGGTTAGAGCACAATGCACAGGAGATTGTTCTGCCCAATGAGTCTTCCATCAGTCCAGGTACCAGTAGACAGTGGGTAGCAAGAAATTCACTCCAGAAATGTGAGAAAATGGGAGATTCAAAAACACAGTGTCAGAGGCCAGAGCTCATAGACTTCTGGCAGTAAAAGCACAAGAGAAGGAGCTCTGGGGAGACGGTAGAAAACTAAAATGATGCCAAGCTGTGGAGACCAGGTCCCTTTGAAAGGAACACTGAACTAGAATCAAACAACCGCGAATCTGCTGGGTCTTATCTGAAAGGTCTTTGGTCAAGGCATACGATGGGTCCAAGATGACCTCTCAAGGAGGGAGCCAGGAAAACATACCCTAAATTTATCCTTGTTTCATTTCCTATCCTCATATTCAGGGTTCCTCATTGGCCAAATCCAACGACAGTTCAGAGAGCCCAGGGGCCCTGAAGAGGAACTTATGTAGAACAATCCCCAGAATGCAGGCAGGATGGACATTGGTGGGAACTGGATCTAAAGGAAAGGGGAAAGGCTTCCCAGCACAGAGTCTTTCAGACACAGGGAAGCCTGGGGCAGGGGCAGCCTCAGGGACCTTCAACGTTCTCAAGTCCTGTAGGGGAAAAAGAGGTGACTCTGAAGCATAAAGGAAAAAAAACTACAAAGTAAAATCAATTCATATTTAAATGGACACTAGGACAGAACTTTATTCTTTCAATGATTACTAAGTTTGTATCATAAAAAGGTCACTACTTCAAAAACAATTTTTAAATTAGCTGTCTCTTTATAAACATGTCTGAATGTACATGGTGTCTACTGAGAAGGCCCAGCATTCATAAACCCAGTGCTAGATAACATAAGGAAATAATGCCAGTGGAGAAGTGTTCAAGTTAGCATCAGAATTTGTAAGGAAGGGAGGCTTTGTTTTGGCTCAAAGTTTAAAAGTGCTGGTCCATCATGTTGGGGAAGGCATGGGGATGAGAGAGTCTTTTCTTTTTCTGACTTACTGACAGAAAGAATGGCATTCACTCTAACAGTCTCTATGCCAAGACTAACTGTCATTCAAGTGGTCGTTTTATGTTGGGATGTTTTCATAAGCACATACTGAATCTTAGTGAATCTACAGAAAAAAATATTAACAAACGAGTAATGAAAAATACTTTTTTTCCATGACAAAATCTTATATTGCTTTTGTACTTGTCAATCACCTTGAATGTAATGCTTTCTTCCAAAGCAGCTTGAGGTGATGGAAGGAGGATGAGCTGGCCAGTCACACTGTACCCAGTCAGGAGGCTCAGTTATTATTTACACCTACACATTTTTATAACAATGTTTACAAATATGTAGCTAAATATGTATTTTCTATTACTAGCAAATACTGTTAACTGCTATGTTTAAGCATAACGCTAAAAAAAAAAAAAAAAAAAAAAAAGTAGTTTTCCTAGGCTGCTTAGCACACCTACAGGTATTTTTATTTACTAGACAAAGTTAGAACTTGGAGATCATTCATAAGATAGTGATCATATTACAATTTAAGGAGACCAGTGAAATGGCACAGTGTGGCTAGCAAGATGGCTAGCTCTAAGATGCTTGTACGGAGCCCGATGGTCTGATTTCAATCCCCAGAACTATTATGGTAGACAGAGAATTGTTCTCTGACCTCCAGACACAGGCTTTTTTTTTCTTCTTCTGGTATTGCAATAATTCTCTTAATTTATCTTCTTTTTAAAAATTAATTAATTAACTAATTAATTAGGGTTTTTAAGATAGAGAGGACATCTCTTTGTAGTCCTGGCTGTCCAGAGACTCACTATACAGATCAGGCTGGCCCCAAACTCACAGAGATCCTCCTGTCTACTTTCCTAGTGATGGGATTGAAAGTGCAGGGAATCTTATGAAAGAAGGGGCAGATAGGATGAAAGAAGGGGCAGATAGGAAGACCTGGAGGGGACAGGAGCTCCACAAAAAGAGCAACTGATCTAAAAAATCTTGGCACAGGGATCTTTTCTGAGACTGATACTCCAACCAAGGACCATGCATGGAGACAACCTAGAATCCCTGCACAGCTGCCCATGGCAACTGTGGGTACCCTACTAAGGGGAAGAGGGACTGTCTCTGACATGAACTCAATGGCTCTTTGAGATCACCTCCCTCTGAGGGGGTTGGCAGCCTTACCAGGCCACAGAGGAACATAATGCAGCCAGTCCTGACGAGACCTGATAGGCTAGGTTCAGAGGGAAGGGGAGGAGGACCTCCCCTATCAGTGAACTTGGGGGGAGGCATAGGAGGAGATGAGGGAAGGAGGGTGGAATTAGGAGGGGATGTGGAAGGGGGCTACAGAAGGGATACAAAGTGAATAAACTGTCATTTGTAAAAATTAATTAATTAATTAATTAATTAATCTGAAAAATCCTTAAAATAAAAAAAGGAATTGCAAGTCAGCAGTAGACATTCAGCAAACGGTAGACACATTGTGTGACACCGAGTTGTCAGAATGGCTTCTCAACTTGTCTTTTCCTTGCTCTCTGCAACAGGTGCTGGATGGTTCCCCAATTGAAGTGACCTTGGCCAAGCCAGTGGATAAGGACAGTTATGTTAGGTACACAAGGGGTACAGGTGGCAGGAACACCGTGTTGCAAGGAGAATACACCTACCCTCTCAGCCACGTTTATGACCCTACCACAACCTACCTTGGAGCTCCTGTCTTCTACACCCCCCAAGCCTACGCAGCCATTCCAAGTCTTCATTTCCCAGCTACCAAAGGACATCTCAGCAACAGGGCTCTCATCCGGGCCCCATCTGTCAGAGGTAACACTAGCTCTGATCTTTTCACAACTCCTAAATTCCAAATGATTGATAAAATACAGTTCAAATGAACTATAAGCTATAGTCCAGAAGCCTTGTACAGATTGGATGGATTCGTTGGGAGAAAAAGACTAGAAAACTGTTTGTTAAAAATCAAACATGTCAGTACCTCTTGTTTTATAGGGAACACTTTTGTTTTGTTTTGTTTTCACATTACAACTGGTTATTGAAAAATATTTGTCGGCACATGGAGTGAATGTGAAGGATCTACAAATCAGATCCTTGCGTGGGCCCATAAAGTATGCGCAGAATGCAACCTAGCTCTGTAACCATTGCTCTGTCGTCCCGTTTGTCTGCGTGTCGGTGACGAGGACTTATTAGCAGCCTGATTCCAGGCAGAGCTTCCAGGGTCTGCCTCTGCTTCCTGAGTGCTCCAGTGGCAGATGTGCACCACATAGAGCTACATGTGATAACTTTGAAAAGGCCAAACTATTAAGAAAAATAATGTTCCTTTAGTATACAGGAGACTAAATAAATTAAAAATAGAAAAAAAAAAAAAAAAAAAACAAATTAGATCTCACTGCCAGACTATATTTTATGTTTAAATGTTACACATAGTCTCTGTTTAAGCAGGTTTCTAAGCTCAGTAAAGTCAATTCATATAAATATGTGAAGCCAGTTTGTCTCTGCCTTATGGTAGCTCTTTTTTTTTTTTTTAACAAACCAATCTTTTTTTTATTTTTATTTTTTACTGGTTTTTTTTTTCCCTTTTTTTTAAAAGATGTATTTCTTTTATATACACTGTTCTGCTTACATGTAGGCCTGTAGGCCAGAAGAGGGCACCAGATTTCATTATAGATGGTTGTGAGCCATCATGTGGTTCCTGGGAATTGAACTCAGGACCTTTGGAAAAGCAGTCAGTGCTCTTAACCTCTGAGCCATCTCTCCACCCCTTATGGTATCTCTTACTGTAGTTTTTCTTGGTTATAACTAACATCATCTGGTTTCCAATCCTATTTTTCTCATATGACAGCAATCTGGAAAATAGGAACAAATGATGTATTTAAATCCACTCTTACATATAGCTTAGAATAGGCCCATCCAGATTATTTTGAAAATGATTACCAAACTGTGTTGCATTATTTTTCAGGAAAAAAAAAAAATACATTGAGCATCTTAAGACCTCTTCAAGAACTTTTAAAGTTCTATGCTCACAATACAATCCTCCCTACCAAAATTGCAATGTAAAAGTAATAATCAAGATTTTATTCAAAAAACTTTCTGTATTTTGTACAAATTATGTCATTGAGACACCATGCATTTATATACAATATATCATCAACCAATCCATATGTCTTACATCTTATCAGCCAGTTGTGATGTAGAAAAAAAAGCAAACTCCACTCCAAGAAAAAAAAATAATACATAGTATTAACAAAAATGTAATCAATGAATAATATCTATGGGTGAAAACTGATCAACTTAATGGGTTATTCCTTTATGTCACCAATAGAAAATCAACATAGTGATGCAGAATCAAAAAGAATCTATGTGTGAAACTCAACAGAAACTTAAGCCTCACATCAGCAGTGCATAAGAGAGTGTGGTGAACTTTAACAAAAAAAAAAAAATGCTTTCTAAATGTTTTTCTGATGACTCACCAGGGAAGCCATAATCAGATTTATTTCTGACTTACTGGCAGAGTAGCATTCACTGTAATAGTCTCTATCCCAGACTAACTATAATTCAAGTGGTCATATTATGTTGGGATGTTTTAATAAGTACATACTGAACCTCGGTGATTGCACAAAAAGCATTAATAAAAGGTAATAAAAATAGTTTTCTCTGACAAAATTTTAAGTAGCTCTGTACTTATCCATCTCCATGAAGGAACTGCTTCCTTCCAAAGCTTTAAGGAAGCAGGAATCTACAATGAGCCTTACCTAATGTTGAGTTTCATTACATTTGAATCTTAAGTTATCTGTCCAACCTCAGGGCGGTAATCAGTGTGACTTGGGCTAACTTTTCTATTACAGTAAGATTCAGGGTGATTTTCTGGTGGTTTGATTCAGTTTAATGCCTTCTTACATTCCTAGAAATTTACATGAATGTCCCTGTAGGGGCTGCGGGAGTGAGAGGACTGGGCGGCCGTGGGTATTTGGCATACACAGGCCTGGGTCGTGGATACCAGGTCAAAGGAGACAAGCGAGAAGACAAACTCTATGACCTTCTTCCTGGGATGGAGCTCACCCCGATGAATACTGTCTCTTTAAAACCACAAGGAATCAAACCTGCTCCTCAGGTAGGTACTATCACGCCAGAGGTAGTTAAGTCGGGCCAGGGACCATCGTTCAAATGATTTGAGTTGCTCCTACCCTTCTGTGGCAATCAGCTTAAGATACTCAGGGGGCTGCCGAGGCTGGCTGCCACTCTGGCACTAAAATGACCTTCATTTTGTTTCATCACAATCCAGCAAAATGAAAAACAAACAGACAAAAGCCTGAAAAAATGCCAACCAAAATCCTAAATGAAAATAAAATGAAGCAAAGACCCCAGCTCAGAATAAACTGCCATTAAGGCAGGTTGGCCGACAACCAAAGAGAAGAGGGACTCATAGCCGAGAACCCTAAGTAGGCTGTTTAGGACTTTTCTTGGAAAGACGGCATTACAAGAACAACATCAATGGACGTGCCAAAGTGGATGGGTAAAAAGTCCCCTAGACCTCAACCTCCAAAGGGAACTATAGGCAACTGAGGAGGGCTGAGGTAAAGCTGAGAGCAGGGATGTAGCCTTTCCCAGGGAAGAGAAGATAAATTGGTTGCCCAGTGTCAAGTATGAAAACATACATACAAGTAACATCATTCAGGCAAACCTGGTTATTTAGGAATATATACATATATAACATATGTATATACACATACATACATGCACCAACAATTAATGAAAAGGGGGTCATGAATTAGAAGGAGAGTGGGAAAGGTCGTGGGAAGCTTGGGAGGGAGGAAAGGGAAAGAGAAATGTTGTAATTATATTATAATCTCAAAAATGAAAAAAAAAGATAAAGAGAGAACATTCCATCATAGAACCTAGGTAAATCCTTAACTATAAAATGTCATCAGCCATATGAAGTCTTCCACAATGTCCTTTACCGGGCAGTGTAATGATGGTAACTGTGTCATGATCGTAATTGCTATTTGCTTTCATTTCACAGTCTGTGTTTCCATGATTCTGTACAGCCGTTGGGTTTTTTTATTAGTGGAAACTGAAAGTTATAAAGGTTGCTTCAATAGGGAAACTAAATACTGTGTTTGAAAAACTAAAACAAAACAGACGAGGTCCCTGTTAAGCCCAGCTTATCCCAATGCTGTGTATCACACCTTGCACCCTCTGAAGCCATGTTGGCTGAATGGCTACAGATACAGTCTGTGGAGTCTCAGGGAAACATCCCTGCTTTCAGGAGGAAGGTAGAAGTCCAACTTGGGAAAAAAGAAATCGCCTCAGGACTATAACCAAGGAGCAAACACGCTATCGAAAAGCTTTCCCTGAGAATGGAAGCAGGGGTATTGTCAGTGTTTTCCTTTTATATGCTTTTAAGTAATGTTTCTTTAAAATCTACTCAGGCAATCAAAAATAAATAAATAAACAAATAAATAATCAGAAGAATGTTTATTACAGTGATAAACAGGAATCGATTGAAAAATTACATGTATTAAACGTCTCGAGTGTAGCATGTTTGTTAGACACTAGAGATGCCAGCATGAATATAACAAAAATTCTTGCAATCATAAATCACATGGCAACCCAGTGGGATAATACTGACACATAAAGAGATAATTATAATGAAATCAGGTAAGTGTCATGGTGAAAACAGTCCTTCGGAGCACAACTCACTGCTTATTCACTAAACACGGGTGAGAAGTTGGCAATAATGAATGAGAGATATTTAATTAATATGTGGTGCCACCCCAGCCAATATGGCTGGAGACTAACCACCACAGTACAGGTGGAAATCGCCAACCAGCAGACAGGGCTCAAGAACTGCCCTGCCCTGCCCTGCCCAACCAGCACTGCATAAGCCATTCCCCTCGGTATGTTTGCTAAATTGGCGTAAATGGGCAGTCAGCCTATCTAGCAGCAAAAGCTGGCTGCTATTGCTCAGGAATCTCAAAATGGTTCTTTGTAAATGCTGGAAGATACTACTAAGAGCTTTTAATAGTCGAAAAAAATAAGCTCAATTTCAAATTAATAAACTGGAAAATGTCATGAGAGGCAGCCGCTAGGTTAACATGAGAACAATGAGCTAGAAGGCTCCAGATACCCGAAGGCCATTGTTCCGTTGCACCATTCTTTGCTCAGCCTCAAGCCCTGTTTGATACAGATACTAAATCTGCTATATGAATGGAGGGTCAGGACCAAAGAAAGCCACATTTAGGGTAAAGTAACCATGAATCTTTTGTGAAAACATTCAGTTTAGGGTAATTACATCAGTGAAAAAGCAAACATGCAGATGGAAAACGAAAACAGACTGTCATAAAAATAGTGAAAATAGCACATTGCCAAGTAAATTTAAAAAAAAAAAAAAAACACCACTGTGAATACCTATTCGTGTTTATTAATACATACTGCCCCAAGGGCTGGAAGGATGGCTCAGTGGTTAAGAACACTTGCTGCTCTTGCAGAGGGTACATGTCAGGCTCCTGACAGCCGTATCATGGCTCACGACTGTCTGCAACTCCAGTTCCAGACTGGTGCCCTCTACTGGCCCCTCAGGGCACCGCGCGTGTGATGTGCATACATACAGGAAAAACTCACACACTTAAAACAAGAACAAGTGAAATAAGGTGAGAAAATAAATGCAAACCCATAGACCTGATTTTTCAAAAATGTGAAGTTAAAAAAAAAAACTATATCAAATGGCAAGAAGCTAAGATAGGTTCTCAGGTTAACTGTCCTAAGCCACTATGAACAGAACGAGGGCTTGAGTGGAAATAAGAGGCAAACCCACCCACACAGTGCTACAACCCCAACTTACTAAAAACAGAAACAAACACACGCAAAAAAAAAATGTGAATTGAGCGCTTAGCAATATATGCATACATGGATTAAATGTACTAATGGATTAAAATGAAACTGCTAGAGTAAATGGTGTGAAAATGATTTTACGAACTATAATAAATGTTCACTGTTTAAATGGAGTTCAGACTGAGTTCAACTTAAATTTTATGAGTCATTACACCATGGGACATTTTCCCTCTTCTGTTAGTTGATACCGAAGTTCAGAGCTGAAAGCCTAAAAGCTGCAGAAGTCATGCAAATGTGACATTTGAGGGAGAAATCTTTTTTTTTTTTCTTTTGTAGATATTAGAAGAAATCTGTCAGAAAAATAACTGGGGACAGCCAGTGTACCAGCTGCATTCTGCCATTGGACAAGACCAAAGACAGTTATTCCTGTACAAAGTAACTATCCCGGCGCTGGCCAGCCAGAATCCTGCGATGTGCGTACCTTCTCCAAGCTCCTGGTAACAGAGCTTTCAGAAGAGATGAGCCTGTGCGTTAAGTGTATTTGATCATTACTAGAATGCCAAGCCTGCTACCTACTCCTTTGTAATTAAATGAAAACTCAAGGTGCCCAGCTGGTACATATCCACCAGCTGTTAGACTGGCATCCACAAGCCCCAAAGTTTCATGCAGAGTGAAGATCCTAGGATAACTCGCTGATGGCGCAGGGGAGATGGTCAGAGATCAAAGGGGGGCAGAGGCCGAGAACTGCTTCCTTCCTGCAGTGTGTAGGTTGTCACAAGGGACCCATGTGAAGTTGGCACTGTACGGCATAGCCCTCTGTCCCACCTGTGAAATTTTATATCTAACATCTAATCTTTAATAGCTGTCACCTTCTGGATCTCACCCCCAGGCTGCATTCATGTAGCTTAGGAACCAACCATGTTTACCTCAGAAGAGTCATGTAGTAAAAAATTATACATGTTCCCCGTAAATGCCATTAGCGACCAAGGTCCTAGATCAATTCACAACTACTCTTGTGTATGCTTATAGGCAGAAGCTTTTTTTCTTTTAAAGTTTTTTTTTATTTTAATTTTTATTAATTACACTTTATTCACTTTGTATCCCCCCATAAGCCCCTTCCTCTGAAGCTTTTTTTACAGCAAATAGAGAAAAAAATACCCCATACAAAATTCCACCATCTGATTATCTTTAAACACTAAAAATACCTTCGGGTTTTTGTTTTTGTTTTTATCACCTGGCTGGGTACACAGGTTTCTGAATAATTAACATGACTGTCCGTTCTTTCCAGCCACCCTTTCACACCTCCCAAGCTAAGTGCCTACGTGGATGAAGCAAAGAATTACGCTGCTGAGCACACTCTACAGGCACTGGGCCTCACCACAGAAGGAGGTGACCCTCGGCCTACAGCACCCACCGCCACATCTGCCACTGTGTTCCCAGGTACTGGGCCGGGGCGGGGGGGGGGATCAGCCATGGCAGTCATGCAGGAGCCTCAACTACAATAATTCTGACCTGTGCCATGTGCGGATGGAAGAGAGATGGGGAAACTGAGCCAGAGCAGCCTAAGCTGGTTGACAGCTGCCTCTGCTTTAAGCAGCTGTGTGAGCTTGAATGAGTCCGGGTTGGTGAGGATTGGTTTTTAGTCTTATTAAGAGACTGGTGCTATTATAGGGTGATATTTAATTGAGCTCATGCTATGAGCAGGGCACTCACTGAAGCGCTCAGCAAGCTCTGTAATCCCCCAGTGACCCTCATGGCACTTGGCAGTTGTGTTAGAATGTAATCCCTTTACAGTCCAGATGAAGAAGTCTAGGCCTGGGAAGATTAATCAATCTGGCCAGTATTAGTTAACCTTGGCTGCTGTTTGAAGTTTTTTTCTACTTTTTCTACACGTGGTGTATATATGTTTGTTTGTGTGCAGGTGTGGAGGCCAGAGGTCAGGGTCAGCTGCTTTCCTCTATCACACTCTACCTCATCTTTTTATTTTTTATTTACTTATTTATTACAATTTATTCATTTTTGTATCCAAGTTGTAGCCTTCTCCCTGTCTCCTCCCAGTCTCACCCACTCTCCCTCTTCGCCCCCTATGCGCTTTCCCTAGTCCACTGAAAAGGGAGGACCTCCTCCCCTTCTATCTGCCCCTAGCCTATCAGGTCTCACCAAGGCTGGCTGCATCATCTTCCTCTGTGGCCTGGCAAGGCTGCACCCCCCAGTGAGAGGTGATCAAAGAGCTGGCCACTGAGTTCATGTCAGAGACAGCCCCTGCCCCCCTTACTAGGGAACCTACTTGGAAACTGAGCAGCCTATGGGCTTCCTCTGAGCAGGAGGGTCTAGGTCCTCTCCATGCATGGTCCTCGGTTGGAGTATTGGTCTCTACAGGTGGCCCTGAGCCCAGGTTTTTTGGTTCTGTTGGTCTCTTTGTGGTGTTCCCGTCCCTCTAGGTCTATCTATCTCCCTCTTCTTCCAGAAGGTTTCCTGCACTCTGCCCAAAGTTGACTATGAGTCTCAGTATCTCCTTCGATACCCTGATGAGTAGAGTTTTCAGAGTCCTTCTGTGGAAGGCTCCTGTCCTGGTCCTTGTCTTCTCCTAACTTGTTTGTCCTTTTGAGTGAGGTTTTAGCCTCTTCCCTAGGGTCCTCCTTGTTTAGTTTCTTTAGGACTCTAGATTTTAATATGTATTCTATTCCCTATATTATATGGCTAATATCCACTTATAGTTGAGTATATACAATATCTGTTTTTCTGCTTCTGGGTTACCTCACTCAGGATGATCTTTTCTAGTTCTGACCATTTGCCTGCAAATTTCATGACTTCCTTCTTTTTGATTGCTGAGTAGTATTCCATTGTGTAAAAATACTACAATTTCTGTATCCATTCCTCAGTTGAGGGACATCTAGGTTGTTTCCAGGTTCTGGCTATTATGAATAACGCTGCTATGAACATGGTTGTGCAAATGTCCTTGTATGGTTTAGCATCTTTTTGGATATATGCTCAGGAGTGGTATAGCTGGCTCTTGAGGAAGCACTATTCCTAATTTTCTGAGAAAGTGCCAGATTGATTTCCAAAGTGGTTGTACAAGTTTACATTCCCACCAGCAATGGAGGAGGGTTTGCCTTTCTACACATCCTCTCAGCATGTATCCTCCCTTGAGCTTTTGATCTTAGCCATTCTGATGGGTGTGAGGTGGAATCTCAGGGTCATTTTGATTTGCAAAATTTCCCAGATGACTAAGGACATTGAGCATTTCTTTAAGTGTTTCTCTGCCATTCGATATTCCTCTGTTGAGAATTTTCTGTTTAGCTCTGTACCCCATTTTTTTAACCACATGACAGCTCACTCTCTAATTTTCATTTTTAATGGATTTGTTGAACCTCTTTTCTTTGAAGAACAATGACAAGAGAAGATACATGTGTAAAGGTAGATAGATAAATAGCATCTTAAATTGGTAAATTAAATACAATGACGAAAATGTGGTCAATAAATGGTTTCTCTCTGTTAAAAAAAAGAGAGAGGGGGGCTTTCAACAGTTCCCCCTTTCTCTTCAATTTTCCTTCTATGTCTTAGTCAAGCAATAGCCTTGATGATTGGAATACTTGGTTTGTTGGTGTTTAACTTCTTGAGTTCTTCATATATTCTGGTTGTTAGCCCTGTCAGATGTAGGATTGGTGAAGATCCTTTCCCAGTCTGTAGGCTGTAGTTTTGTTCTGACGACAGTATCCCTTGCTTTACAGAAGCTTTTCAGTTTCATTAGGTCCCATTTATTGGTTGTTGATATTAGAGCCTGTGCTTTGGTGTTCTGTTCAGGAAGTTGTTTCCTGTGCCAATGAGTTCAAGGTTTGTCCCCACTTTTTCTTCTAACAGATTTAGTGTGTCTGGTTCTTTTTTGAGGTTTTTGATCCACTTGGACATTACTTTTGTGCAAGGTGATAAATATGGGTCTATTTGAACTTTTCTATGTGTAGACATCCAGTTAGACCAGCACCATTTGTTGAAGATGCTATCTTTTTTCCATTGTATGGTTTTGGCTTCTTTGTCAAAAATCAAGTTTCTGTGGGTGTGTGGGTTTATTTCCAGGTCTTCAGATTGATTCCATTGATCCAACAGTCTGTTTCTATGCCAGTACCATGCCATTTTTTATTACTGTTGTTCTGTAGTACAGCTTGAAATCAAGGATGGAGATACCTCCAAAAGATCTTTTATTGTACAGGATCGTTTTAGCTCTTCTGGGTTTTTTGTTTTTGCATACGAAATTAAGAATTGTTCTTTCAAGTTCTGTGAAGAATTGTGTTGGTATTTTGATGGGAGTTGCATTGAACCTGTAGATTGCTTTTGGCAGGATGGCCATTTTCACTATGTTAATCCTACTGAACCATGAGCATGGGAGATCTTTTCCATCTTCTGATATTTTCTTCAATTTCTTTCTACAGAAACTTTAAGTTTTTTGTTTTTTTTTTTTTTTCCAAACAGGTCTTTTACTTGCTTGGTTAGAGTCACACCAAGGTACTTTAAGTTATTTGTGGCTATTGTGAAGGGTGTTGTTTCCCTAATTTCTTTCTCAGCCCATTTGTCTTTTGTATACAGGAAGGCTTCAGATTTTTTGAGTAAATTTTTTATCCAGCCACTTTGCTGAAGGTGTTTATCAGCTGAAGGAGTTCTCTGGTAGAACTTTGGGGATCACTCATGTATACTATCATATCATCTGCAAATAGCAATACTTTGACTTCTTCCTTTTGTAGATTTGTATCCCGTTGATCTCCCTTAGTTATACCTGATCTTTTTTAAATTAAGATTTAAGCAGGTGTGTGTGCGTTTACGTGTGTGTGCACGTGTACATGTGCGTTTAAATGAGTGCAAGCTCTTGAAGAGGCCACAGGTGTTCGATCCATTGAAGTTGGAATTTCAGGCATTCGGGCACCCAGCAGGAGCGCCGATCCTCAGTATGGATGTATGTACATACCAAATCTCCAAACCTTGTCTCAGGTTTTGAGACAGACTCTCTCATAGAACCTGGTTTTACTAGTGAAACTGAGGTTTCTTTTAAGGGTTCCTAGCCTTTTTAATACAAGAATTTAAAAATGGATTCAAAAGGAAGCTTGAGGACAGTTGCATTAGAGGGATGGATGGATAGATAGATAGATAGATAGATAGATAGATAGATAGATAGATAGAGGTGTTGAATTCATTGGGGCAAGTTTGATCTTCACCACCAGAATATACAATGTCTCCTTCTCATTTCTTTGCTCACAACTACTTGACAAACCTCAACAAACTGCACCAAACTGTCACAAACTACAACAAACAACAGTATCCAACCATCAACCAGCCATACATCCATCTATCCCTGCTCTAGCTTTTATACACCTTCTGAAAAGTTCCTATGATTCTAAACTTCACATACTCGCATAAACTCCCTGCAGGTGGGAAAACCACACCCTGCCAAAGCAAGATAGTCACCTGGTATTAAAGTGAAAACACCTGGCATTAAAGTGAAAACATCCCCACAGCTGGCATTAAAGTGAAAACATGTTCCTATAAGATTTAAGTGTTTTTTAAGGAAACCAAAATTACAAAAGTCTCACTACAAACAGATGGACAGGTAAACAGGTAAACAAGCCATAAATCTCAGCAGCTTCCAGAAGGGAACTGCAGAAAAGAAAGGAAAGTAAGCCCTGCTGCTTGCAGTGGAGGTCCACAAACAGCCACATGGCAAAAGGAAATGGGTGGCACTTCTTCAGAGTGAGAAAGCCAGAGTGTCAGGGAAAGCATGCTTAGGTTTTATTCAAAACACAGAGGGGGAAAAAGGGTATCTTTTTCATTGGTTAAATGAAATAGATTTTACAGTTGTTGATGTATCCATAAGGCTACCCTCATTAATCGCTGAACTTTTAAAACTGGTATCACATTGCAACAGTGTTTTGAGCCAAGTTCAAAGACTTACAGTATAATCTATGTTACTTTTCTAAAGCAAACCAAAAGTTTAATTTTCAGGGTTTGTTCTACCGCCTTCAGCAGCAGCATTTGATGAGGAATCTTTCATGCGTTTGTAACAGATAAAAATAGAACAGACTGCAGGTTCTAACAAAATGTTTCTTTTTTTTAAAAATCACTTGTTTTAATGGCGATACATTAAGACACTCTAAAACAGTACAGTATCTCTGCTGATAGAATATCTGTCTATTCTTCCTTGTATGAAAAAAGTTTTTGTTTGTTTGTTTGTTTTTGAGACCTGGGTCTCTCTGTAGTCACGCTTTTCCTTGAACTCTCTATGTAGACCAGGCTGCCTCAAAGTAACAAAGACCCTATGGCTGTTGTCACCACTTCCCTGGAATGCTGGGATTAAAGGCACAAACCACCATGCCTTGAAATTTTTGATTTGCTTTTAAGTGTGAGGTTTTATGCCATTGCCATGTTCAGCAGAACCAGACCTATAGAACCCACTAATATCATGCCAACTCCCCAACAGCCTGCTTTATATATAGAGTCGTGTATATTCACCTCGGGAGAAGCTTTCTATTGCAAGCTGGCCACAAAAGGTCCCTCTCTGTTCTTCGGAACATCTCTCCAATGTCTCCATTTGCTCGTGTGAAGTAGGCCCGAGGCAGTGAAGTCGGTTCCCTCTGGAGAATATCATATTCACTCTTCCAGTGCTATTCCAGCTGGGTGTTGTGGTGCTTTCCTTTAGTCTCAGCACTCTACAGGCAGAGGCAGGTGGAACTCTATGAGTTCCAGGCTAGCCTGGTCTACATATGTGTTCCAGGAGAGCTAACAAGGACGACATAGAAAGAACCTGTCTCAGAAAACAAAAACGGAACAAAACCACCAATGTTATTCTACACAACTAAGCCCACAAACTGTGTCTCCTCAGAGCACATTTTCATCCTACATACTTGTTTGTTTTAAGCAATATGCTAATTCTTTGCATCGCTAAAAAGGAAAAAGAAAATGTGCCATAAAGGGAGGGAATCTGAATTTCTTTCATAAGATTTCCTCTGCCTCCTCCAGGATATGCTGTCCACAGTGCCACCGCCCCCGTGTCAGCAGCCCAGCTCAAACAAGCAGTGACACTCGGACAAGACTTAGCAGCATATACTGCATATGAGGTCTACCCTACTTTTGCAGTGACCACCCGAGGAGATGCGTATGGAGCCTTCTGAAGATCCCTTTCCTTTAAGAATAAGCCTTACAGAATGCTCTGTAGAAGCCCCAAACCTCCAACCAGATCCCTTGTGATCATAGGTCACACCTTCCCCAAAGCCACGCCTTTCCTGAGACTGCCTGCCTGACTCACTCATTGTACCACTCATGAAATGTGAATATTATTCCTCAACAAAACCAAACGTTAAGGAGCCTTATGCTTAACAGAAATCTGGAAAAACGCCACTAACAGCAAAGTTGCTCTTCCAAGGATCCTGAGTGTCTCAGGAAGGGGATAAAACCCTGACAAATTGGTGTATGCTCTCTTAGTACCGAGAGCTGTGGCTGGGCAGAGCTGGGCGGTCAGTAGCAAGGTACAGGCAGTAAAATTCCTGTCTCAGTCACCGGCTCCCAGCCACTTCATCACTCAGAGAATCAAGAGACCAGAGGAAATCAGGAGGCTTTGTAAGAGGCCTTCAGTATCACCTACAGTGTGGGGTGTGATCCCAGGCTGAGCTCATGAAAACTGTCTGAAATGTAATAGATTCCATTACCACTTTCAGTCTGAAATTCCCCTCTTATCCATCTGTCATAGATCAGCATCTTCCTGTCCCTGCAGTCTCTGGGGACTGGAAATCAATACACTGTGTTTCAGATATGCTTGAGACAAATCCAAACCCTGTATTCATTTAACCCATTAAGCCACTGTTTTTCTTCAGAATTTCTATCCTACCCAAAGATTCCCAAATCACAGAAACCACACGAGCACTGAGTCCTGGGGTGAAAAATGACTTTTTCTTGTCTGGAAATTCTGCCTTGCCCATGCTAATTTGCCTTCACCTCAGACTCATTTTGCTGATCTCAAACACAGTAAATCAGATGTACATAAAATCACTATGATGTTTTCATACTCAGAAAATTGGCCAAAAAGTCATTTCCAAAAAAAAAAACAAAACAAAAAAAAAAGTGAACTTGTTTTGCTTTTTTCTCACTGTGTAGCCCAGGCTGGCCTCAAATTTGTAATCCTCCTGCCTCTACTACCCCTGTGCTGGTGTTGTTAACACACAACACCACACCTACCTCGAAGTAGTTATGTTAACTTGAAGCTACCTTAGAATTTTCTACCCAGTTCATGTTAATCACCGAAAATCATTGCCTTTCCTTTCTTTATGTTTTGATTTTCTTTCATGTGTTCTTTTTTATTTTATTTCATATGTTTTACCATGGTTAGGTCCTTTTATAGGGAAACTATTCCAGGAAAGCCTTACACCATCATGGTTACCCAGAGACTATCCCTTCAGAGTTCAGTAAAAGTGTTACTTGCCAAAATGCTCCTGAGAATTTAGAACCTCTCATGGTCACTAGGGAAGGGAGACTACATCCAGAAATGGAGGTCAAAGGGATGTGATGCTCTCATTCAAATTAGGTATGTTCAAAACAGAGAGTCAAAAGTCTGGTACTGAATACAATCCCTACTCCAGCCTTATTTGTGACTTAGGAGACAAAGCACTAGAATTTCCATTTAAAGAAAAAGAAAATACTTGGCTCTTGTGAAAGTCTGTACACCTCAAGCAAAAACACACAGAGAGGTGCAGAAAATATTGTCAGCTCTTTAATGGAATTCCGGAATCTAAAATCAGGCCCAATTCCAATCAAAGTCAGGGACAGGTCAATCATAGTTGAGTACTTCATAACCCTCAGTTATGTGATTTAGTGATTCCAGCAGGACATCTAATGCCAAAAAACCTCCAGCTGACACTCTGGAAGGCTCTGGATTTTCTGGCCTTCTTTCTCAGGTTATTGTGTTCCTGTGCAAAGGAACTCCCAAGCTTGGCATCACATCCAAAACACCTGGAGAACTTCCAATACGCTAAGGCCAAGGTCACCTGTCAATTACGTCAGAGAGTCTTGGCATGGAAGCCTGTTGTCAATGTTTCCTGATGATTCCTGGGTGATTTGAATATGCAGCTTGGTGTGGAGATTGTTAGAGCCTTTGTAGTCTACTCTTCCTCTTTCATTCTTCCCTTTCCAATTCAACTTTAGCTAAATACAAAATTTATATACATTGTCTTTGTTAAAACAAATAATCATAGCGTTGTCATTATAGCCATCTCACACACTCTGAGTCTGAATAAATTCATATTGGCTTCAAACTAATTCTTAAGCCAAACTCTAACATCAAGATGATTTTATCAACACACTAGTAATCGCCAGACTTTAGAAATCAAATTCTAATTTGCTAGACTAGTATAAATGATTGCTCACAGTATTTTGTCAGTATCTTATGGCTGCCCTGATGATTTTAAGTTTTTCTATGAAGACCTAAGAAGCATGCATGGCAAAACAAACAAACAAACAAACAAACAAACACCAGGGAGATGGATTAGGATTTGGAAGGCTGGAGAGTGATAGTGTTAATTTCCTAAATCTACAATATAAGCATTATGCACAACTAACCTTCGGTTTGACACTTGATCTTTTTAAAGCTTATTTTGAGGCACATTTGTTGGTACAAGCCTGAGATCCCAGTACTTGAGAAGAAGAGAGAGGAGAATGAAGAGTCTGAGGTCAGCCTGAGAAGCATAGAGCGAGTCTGTCTTGAAAATGTTAAAAAAAAAAAAAAAAAAAAACAAAGAAAACCAACTAAACCACAAGAAAACACATAATTTTTCTTACCTATTAACTGCTGTCCTTTCTCAAAGAGCTGCTCTTCAATTCCACAATCTAGGTAAATCAAGAAGAGCACCTCCAACTGCAGCAAACAAAACTTCTCCTAGATGATGAGGGTATGTCCAGCAGCCAACAGAATCATGCCAAACAGCACTCAAAGTGGTGTAGGCAAGCTACCTCATATAACAAAATAGTGACATCAAAAACTACCTGACAAGGAGGATCATAAGTCAAATACATAAAATTAGTTTTTGTTTCATTTTAAAGGTTTTTAAGTTATTTTAGTCACATAGAATAGCAAAAATGCTTTAGCAATAATTTTCAAATTACATTTATTTTCAGAACATTTTACATGACTCTTAGAATTCTGTCTTGGTCAACCGAGCCATGCTGAAATCCATGTTAGCAAGGAGATGCACCAGGGGGCATGGCATGCTTAATAATCATGGTTGTGGTTATGGCCCTTAATTTGAATTCATGCAAAAGTTTAGGGAGGAGCATACTAAAAATTAACCTAGAGACTTGGCATATTCCTTATCTTATGAATACGCTTTTATGTATTTTATAGATACACATTATATACATATATACACATACTGTTAGAGATACAATTTAAACTTAAAATACAGAGAGATAAGAATTGTGTCATAAATATTTGAAAAGAACATGTTGGCATTGTGCCATGACTTGGGCAGCAGAAAGAAATGAGGCCATTTGACATGGCACCACCGTCATGGCTTTTAGACAGTTCTGGAACCCAGTGATGAGGCTTCCCTCATTCCAGTAGTGTCCTGGAAACATCCTGAATTAAACTCTGACATAAGCCTAGGAAATGTAATGTGCCTTCCAGGCCTTAAATTTGTATGTGCCAATCTTTAGAGGAAAGTGAGTAGAGTTCTCATGAGCTATTAGGAAAATGATGCTTTCCTAACTCTTTTCTTGTAAAGTAAAACATTACATTTTTATTAAATAAAAATTATAAAGCATTCTATAAACCCCCATGTCCAATATTTTCAAGTGCTGGATTTCTCTTTAAATGTTTAGACAAAAGAACAGTGCTGCGATTCACATCTCGAGCACACAGAAGCATTTACGGCAAACTGTAAATTTGTGTTCCAGTTCACCTCAATTTTGTAGTAACTTCTTAAATGAATTCATAACTAATCTAAAAGAGGAAAAAATTAGAAAGCAGAAGCTTCATTTCTTCAAATGTGTCTGGAGTCAAATCTGGACCACTACAGAGCCTCTCCCAACAGGCATGTCTCGGTTTTGAGAGCAAAACCAAAAGGAAGAACACGGTTGGCTCTCTTTTCTCTTATGCTTGTTTAACGGAAAGGTAAATATCGAGGAACAGTCCCATAGAAGCTGAACAGAGGCAAGATGGAAGATGCTCACCCTCTTCCTTCACTCAAGCTAGTGATACCTCCAACTAGAAAGAATTTCTTGTGTAAATGTTTCCATTCTGCCCTTTCCCTTCTGCTTTACGGATGCCCCCAAACACGATGCCCTTCGCACGTCCCTTCACCGTTCCTGTTGTTCTTCACCTTCCTCGCCCGTGCTCTTCACAGTCAAGGCTTTCATCGCTGCTTAATGGAAAATAGCATCAAGGGGTTATGTTCCTTTTCAGGAAATTCTTGCCTGTTGCTTGCTGTCTTTACTAATGCTGAAATTTTTGCTAGCTGCATTGATTGACAGCTATTGTATTGACCTGTTCATACAAAATGGAAGGCGTTTTTGTCTGCTGTGTTCTTTGCTTACTATGTGCCCACTGTTACTCCAGAAACAGGGGATACAAACACACATATTTCTGTTCCTCTCTGCAATAGATGCACAATCCAGTTATTAAGCTAGAAGTTTTTGTCACTGGGTCAGAATCCCTAAAATAAAACAATTCCGTCCTAACCCTTCTGTTTCCAGCACTGCCACCCAACATGAGCAACAATTGTTTTAAAAAGTGAAACGAATTTCAAGTGTTTCTTCCCAGGAAAATACCAAGAACTATGCAAACATAGAAAATAAAGGTTTAGTTACTCGAAAGCTTTAACAGACATAAGGAATGTGGACATAAAGACATTAAGGAACTCCACTTAAGGTGTGGAGTTCACAACAGGGCTTATTTACTTGAAAACATTTTGCTCATTAAGTATTTCTGTTTGCTAACTCTGCCTGTTATTCAAAACAGGAGCCTTAGCCATATCTCCATATCTTCGCCGAAAGTGATTCTCAGGTGCAGTCACTGTATCTTTCACAATATACAATTCTATTTTGAAATGTCCTATTTTCTATTTAGTTCCTAAGAGATATTAGGGGGTTCAAACTGCAAGTGTTTGTTTAAGTCAATCATTATTTTCTTGCTTTAACTGTTTGATCACTGGTATTTTTAGTGCTATTCTCTCCTAGAAATTTCTTTTCTTAACCAATTTTTGTGAGTACGGTCAGACATTACTGTCTCTTATCTTTTATCTTTTATCTTTTAATGAAAAGAAAGATTTAAGCAAACTGTACTTCCAGGTCCAAGGTGTTAACACCCTTGCTTCTTTTCTTTTTTTGTTATTTATATGGATTTACCTAAAGTACCCCCAAAAGATACATATATATATAGATACATATATATATATAAACAGTATTAAAGAGTGTGCATAAGACACTTATTTTTGTACTTTGAGTACAATGTTTTATAGAGCTACATGATCTAACTATATATTAAGTAAAATAATATCATTCTCTTATTGGAAAAATGATTGTTGCTTTGGAAAATACAAATATACCAGTCATCTTAGAATCATAAATCAAATGAAATGAGAAATTATGCAGTTTTGGGTATTTCAGGATGGTGATATGGTTTTAATTGAGTTTCACGGTTCCATAATAAAGTTTTAGAAATTATCAACATGGCTGCTAATGTCTTTTCTTTCCTGAAAACTAAGATTTTGGGCTTTCTTTCAGTAAGCATCTGAATATGAATGGCACATAATTGCAACTGGTTATTCTCAGTACTTCCTGTTTATGTCACTTCCTTGTAGCACATCCTCCAGGAGTATATGGCATTTTCCACTCAATAAGAAAGTGAATGAAATATGCAGAAACTAAAAATAAAGAGAAAGAGACCTCAGACAGGTTAGTGTGCTCTGAAGCCAATGTTTGCCCGGGGGCATCTGCTGCTCCTTAGTGAAAAGGAAAATTCTTCAGTGAACTGTTCACTGGGAATAAGTCCTGTTTGTCAATCCCTCAGATAGAAATGGTTCCTGTTGGGGAAGGGCTTAGTGAAGAATGTTTTGCTTTGTTGGGGGACGGGAATGATTTTTTGGTTTTTGGTTGGGTTTTCTGTTGTTGTTGTTTTATTTTGTTTTGTACTGTTTTATTTTTTAACAAATCAAAAAAAAAAAAAAAGATGGAAAAAAAGATGAAAAGCAAGAATTTGTGGCTGAACAATCATATGTGGACAGCAAAGCCTAAAATTTTTCCTATTATTACTGAGGAAATTGGGAACTCCTTTGGGGGCTTTTAGTCTCCTTAATAAAACAAAATCCAGAAATGGACGCAGAAGGGGGCTCCGTGATAACTGTGTTAGAGTTTGAGAGAAAATGACAGTGCAGGCAAGCTGTAAATCTTAGCAGATGCCGGGAGAAGGAAGATGGAGAAAAGGAAGCGAGAAAGTCATGTCTTTTGAGTTAGTCCAAAAAAATGGGCAAGTCATCGCTGAAGGTCAGTATGCAGCCACATGGCAGAAGGAGAGGGGCCTTCAGAGAAAGACTAAGAAAGCCCTGAGTGCCAGGCGAAACATGCTTGGGATTTGGAGCAGAATGTGAAAGACAAGGAACTAGGAAAGAGAAAGGAGAAAAGTTCCACTTATACACCAAGTTAATTCAGAAAACTGGACAGGCTCCATGGTGCTCCCTGACAGAAGCGCTGACTAAAAAAATATATAAGCAAATTGTTTTAAAAAGCTGGGGGTGATGGCACATGCCTTTAATGCCAGCACTCGGGAGGCAGAGGCAGGTAGATCTTTGTGAGTTTGAGGCCAGCCTGGTCTACAGGGAGAGTTTCAGGACAGCCAAGGCTACACAAAGGAACCCGTCTCAGAAAAAAATAAAAAGAAAGAGAGAGAGAGAGAGAGAGAGAGAGAGAAAGAAAGAAAGAAAGAAAGGAGGACCTGAGTTTGATACCTGAACCAAAAAACATAGTCAAATGTGATTCTCATTCACAATCCTGAAACTGAAGAGCCAAGAATAGATGGGTCCAGCCAGCCTAGCTAACTTAGCAAGTTCTAGGCCAGTGAGAGACATTGTCTCTAAATATATGCATACACACATACCTGCATACACACACACACATACATACATACACACACACACACACACACACACACACACACACACACACAAACACAGCCTTTGTCTTTACCATACTCCCAGAAAACTAAAGTTATCATTAGCAAAACTACTTACAGACAGCTTATTTTAAAAAGTAAAACCTTTCTGCAGCCAATTATCAAAGTGTTGGTCTCCTAAACTAAATACAGATGTCTCCACTTACCTGACTAGCCAAATATTTTAGGTAATACCTTGTTTCTATTCTCACCGTATTTTCCCATTTTCTTAACAAGTTCATCTGTCTCTCTTTGCTTCTGTATAAGCATGAAACTTTCTGGCTGTGTTTTACCAAAAGTTTCGGTAGTTAATATAACTTACAGGGCCCTGAGGTGTGTCCTACCTGAGGTCCATAGGCTATCAGCAGAATAGCTAGGCATGAAGCCTGACACAAAACATAAATGTACTTTTAGCATTATGGTTTGTTGTTGCTCTTGTTCTCTCTCTCTTCTCTCTCTTTCTGTGTGTGTGTTAGAAAAAGAAAGAGAAAGAGAAGAGAGGAAGAGAGAGACTCAACTGTGTGGTTCTCCAGCAGAAAGTTTGCAGACAGCAATGGCATATCTACAATGTCAAAGCTTGGGTGTTTCTGGCAGGAGTAAAAAACTGAGAGAAAGTAACTCGTAACGGAGACAAAGCCTCACAGAGAAGCAATGAGGGGAATGGGTGGCCCCAGCACCAAAGCAGGATGGAACTAGGGAAAGAAAGAAAAATAAACATAAGAAATTAAGAGCACAGGGAATTGAAATCCTGTTTTCAAGAAGAGCCAATGAGAAGGTGACCAGATTCAGCACAGCAGCAAAGGGATCTGGAAGACCCCAAGCATATGTCTGAGCCCCAAACAGGATAAGGACTTCTCATGGGTAGTAAAAGCGCTTATGGAAAAGGGCAGAGAATTTGGCCCTCTCCGAAGTTATAAAGACCAACTTTTTTATTTTAACCTCTCTAGAATGAGAGAGTGGCTCCTCGAAATTTTTATTTTCAGTCATCCTCTCAGATGGAAAAATTAGATTATTTTTATGTGTTTGCATCCTGGTGCTCCACTGTCCTCCTCAACAGAGCTCTGAGTTGGCCTTTTGTTTCTCATGCTGCCCGACTGCTAGCTTTGGGACCAGGCAGAACTGTTTCGTTCTGACAACCTCTGCTCCCTCCCTGTTGCCCCCTCCCTCCTCCCCTGTTCTTCAGAAAAGGGGAGCCACCCTCCTCCACTAACTCACCTCAGTTCATCAGGTCCCATCAGGAATGAGCTTGTCTTCTTCCCCTGTGGCCTGCTGAGGCAGCTCTGCCAGGGGGAAGGGACCAAAAAGTAAGCAATAGAGTCCATGTTAGAAAAGGGAAGCCATACAAAATATAGAAATAGGCTTGATATTTATTAAAAAGTGCCACTAATGAAATTAAACAGAAAATGGTAGGACAATGAAGAGTATGCTATGAAGTTTATTATTTAGACTAAGTGTAGAAATAATAAACAAATGAGACAAACGAAGGGAACCAGGAAAAGTGAAAACTGGAGGAGAAGAAGCATTTCCCAATAGTCAAAGATTCATAACCAAATTAGGTAAGTGCAAGAAGAGAATAAAATGAAATAGTAACAGTATTCAAAAACCAGTAAGATAAAGTCAAAATATTACTCTGGATGAGCTCCCCCGCCCCCATCTTTCAGGGAGACCCATGGCTTGTGCTACGTTTGCCTTGCCTTTCTTCTTCGCACCGTTTGCCATGGCCATCTTTTCACTGTCTCATCACTCCTGTGCTCTTCTGGTATTCCTCCTCTTTCTTTGTGACACCCCCTTTCCTTGTTACACACCTCTCCCTCACCACAGCACACACGGGCAGCCTTGCATCCTTCCCTTTACTTCTAAATCTTAGGAATTTATTTTTAAAGATTCAATTGGTCATTTTTTAGTCATGGGGGGAGCTATAGACCCACGATGGCTACTGTCCAAAGACGCCAGAGGTGTTGATTACTCCTTCATCTGTGGTTCTCGGTGGCTGTGAGCTGCCTGACGTGGGGTGCTGGAAACCAAACTCAAGTCCCTCTGGGAGAACAGCACAGGCTCCTAAACACTGAGCCGTTTCTTTAGCTCCTGCTAGAAGGTTTTTGTTTTTGTTTTGTTTTGTTTTGTTTTCAAGACAGGGTTTCTCTTTGTGGCCTTGGAAACTTGCTCCGTAGACCAGGCTGGCCTCGCACTCACAGAGGTCTGCCTGCCTCTGCCTCCCGGGTGTTGGGATTAAAGGTGTGTGCTGATTAGCTCATAATCCCAGTGCTCCTCTGCAATGCTTTACTCCAGGCTCTGGACTGACAGGGCGGTCAGGTAGCCCGAGTTCTAGTCCCAGCCTCACCTGTTTGCTCAGCAAAGTATGAACGGTTCTGGGTATTCAGGCTCTCTCTCTGTAAAATGAGATCAAGGGCTCACACATTGGAGCTTTAAGGTGGGTCACACAAATGAATGGGCATCGCAGCAGGAATCTAGAGTGAGGGATCCAACTGGCTCACTATGATCTGACTAAAGAATACACAGGCCTGAAACTGTCAAAGCCCTGTGTTCAGGAGAGTTCATCTATAGAACTTAGATCAAGTGTGACATCCAGTGGCCTATTTAGTTAATGACACTTAGATGCTTTTAAATAGCCTGGGGAATTCTGATGTCTTTTGTCTTTTCTCCTACTAAGAAGATTTCAGTCAATTGGAGGAAAGCAAGCAACACTAGCAAGGGTCTGTTCACGGGATAGCAGGCACAGTAAGAGCAACTTTCCTTATGAGTTTTACCCTACCCATAGGTCACGGTGCTGCAAACCGACAGTGTCCCACACTAATACAGAGAAACAGGAAGTGGTGTGGAGGCTGACCAGCTCGCTCATCTACATTACTGAGCATGCAAATTAAAATTTTCAGTAAAATCCTGACACCATGAGACATGTCCCACTCTGGGACTTCAATACCTCTGTTCCAAGTTTTTGTTCTACCAACATAGAAGTGAGTCCTAGGAAGATTAAACAATGCCAAAAATAAAGAACTACTTAAGGCTAGAACCAATGGCCAGAAGTTCCCCCAAGAAATCCTCTTCAGTTCCAGGAGAGATCTTTCAGGCTTCAGCTGTGGTCACAAACATCCTTTGCCTTACTTCTTAGAAGATGTACAATTATCATCAGGCCTCTGTTCTTCAAACTGGGAAAGTACAAATGAGCACATTTGCTTTGAGAACATTAAAAGAAAAAAGAAAAAAATCTAGTATTTAAAGTGTGTGTGTGTGTGTGTGTGTGTAATCAATCTTGAGTGGGTAGGTACTACCAATTACCTCAGAAACAAGACATCTGAAAGCTTTTAAATTCCAAAGGTTTTGTCCTATATATCCTGGAGTAATGATTAATGGCCACACTGATAACCCCGTGGTCATTAAGGAAGATTACATTATTCTTAAAGTCCTATGTTTAATTAGATAAAGAAACACTTAATGTAATTTAGGATGGTTTAAAATGGAAGATAATGAGAGAGAATATCTCAGTGTAATTAAATAGCTTG